AATAACAACCTACATGTAGGTTGTAAAAAATAATTGAAACATAATAGCCAGAAAGCCACTTAGCATCAGCCACTAAAATTGCTGGCCAATAAAAACAATTAACATAGCGTATATGCTATTAATTCTTGCCCTAGAGTGGATTCAATTTCCGCTCGTGGGCCATCTATTGCGGTATTAAAGGAAAATACTCGGAAAAAGCCATGGTCTTTTTACCTTTCAAGCCATTTTGCTGCGCTTTTTTCCTTTGGCTTGCAGCGCCCACTCACACGTACAGCTAAAAGATTTTCCACGTTGGTAATAGCAGGTGCTGCAGGTCGGGGCTTTAAATGAACTTTGCACCGCTGCAGCTTAGCGAGTCAGGTTGAAATTTTTCAATCCCACCCACTGCTGGGCCCTTTGAAAGTTGTGAGTATATCAGGCTGCTCAGTGGCGTATACGTAATATTTCTGTTTAAAGACGAACTGCTTATTGATTATGAAAGATAAGTCACACTGTTCTCTAGGAAGTAATAATCTAAGCAGATTTGTATCAGTTTCAATACAATTTACTTTAGTTTCGTTATTTATGAAATTGTCTAAAATGGCGCTAAATATTTTCCATTTCCTCCATAAAGGTAATATTTTACGTTTAATTAAATGTCAACGAAGCTTTTAAAATAGATTATTTTCCCAATTTGATCCGGAAAATTTATATACTTTCCTAAGCCCTCCAATATTTCCTGACCATACTCTGTAAACAGCCATTAATCAATGCATCTAAAGAGTAACCCCCGAGTCTAAGCCACAACCCAGTATCCGCAAACACACACACACATTTATTTTTGTTTTACACTATTTTCCCATTTTTCCCAACAAACCATCTGCAGCCCCTGCAGCTTTCTATGCACTTTAAAAATGCAACCAGTAGGGGTCGTGGGCGAGGGTGTTAAAATAAAAGAGGAGACGGATGGTGGGGAGTGGAAGGAGCAAGGACAGATACTCGTATCTATGAAAACGCTGGCGTAAAACGATGAATGGAATCAACACCAGCCTCGACCCAGGACAAGGAGATTTAACTTTGTGGGAGAAAGGAGGTGCCAGGGTTCAGAGGCAGGGTCCAGGGCCAGGTTAGACCAATTCATACTCAGTGTTGGGAAAGGTAATGTTTTTTTTTACCTAGGCGTGGTACTAAAAATCTAAAGGAATATATTCCTAGAAGATAGTTAATAATGCTAATAGATATAAATCAACTTTATGTCTTATAATACTTGAGAAGCTTCAAAACATGTCTATAAACGTTAAAAAATTAAGAATAATGTGTAAAAACAACATTTAATTAATATAAAGACATATTAAGAACAAGAAGTCCTTAGAAAATATCTAAAATAATATACCTAGATACCTTACCTTCTGTATACATACTGCCCATCACTGTGCACACATGCCACTTGCCACAGCTTTTATGCGTGGCCCGTATCTGTGCGTACTATGAAATGAATGAAAATGAAAAGCAGTTAATGCTCAAGTCACGGAAAAAGCGTAAATGGAAAAGTTAAACGCATTAATTATTTATTTATCGTTTTATCGTGTTCAAGTGTCGGTGAACTTGCTCACCGTTCATCGTTCGTTGCCCGCCTGGAAAAACAAAAGGAAAAGCGGCAAACGAGGGCGCAAAGCATTAACAACGACAGCTAAGCAAATTGTGCGCAAGTTCGTAATCCTTCCTGAAAAGGCAGCATCAGTATAACACTGAGAAAAATTATCTAAATGATTACGAATTTTATTTTGAAATTAATATTTTGCTGAATATTTAAGCTTGTAAAAAATTCGAAATGTCAAAAGTATTCAGAAAAGTATGCTACAGAATCCAATTTTAAAAGTTAGGTCCTTTTTAAAGGAATATATATATGGACTTCTAGCATACCTTTTAAGACGCACTTTCTCACAGTTTACTGAATAAAGAGAGAGAGAGCTTGAAAGAAATGACTGGGTGCTGGTTGGAGGTGGCCATTTCGCACAACTCGTTGGGCTCAGTCGCTGGAATTGGCCCACGCCCAGCTGCGATACCTACTGGGCTCTCGAGATTGTGGCTCTAACGCTTATCGTCAGGCTTCTTTTATAGGACATCATCTTGGCAGGAAGGTCAGTTCATGTCTTCACATCGAAGCTGATTTATTACGGCCTTTTATCCACTTGATAGTTGCAAATTTACAAAGCGATTTAAGTGCTGAATCTATGTGTAAAATTCCAAGCTAAATATTTAACTCTTTCGATTTGCTTTTATCATCTCAAAATCTACGTTTGGTGTTATTGTAAAAGTACTAACTCTTAATGAACTTTATAGCCCCTAGCATCCAAATATATTTAACAATAACGATTGGTTTTAGAGAATTTCTAAGTTTTAATTAAAAATAACAACCTACATGTTGGTTGTAAAAAACAATTGAAACATAATAGCCAGAAAGCCACTTAGCCACAGCCACTAAAATTGCTGGCCAATAAAAACAATTAACATAGCGTATATGCTATTAATTCTTGCCCTAGAGTGGATTCAATTTCCGCTCGTGGGCCATCTATTGCGGTATTAAAGGAAAATACTCGGAAAAAGCCATGGTCTTTTTACCTTTCAAGCCATTTTGCTGCGCTTTTTTCCTTTGGCTTGCAGCGCGCACTCACACGTACAGCTAAAAGATTTTCCACGTTGGTAATAGCAGGTGCTGCAGGTCGGGGCTTTAAATGAACTTTGCACCGCTGCAGCTTAGCGAGTCAGGTTGAAATTTTTCAATCCCGCCCACTGCTGGGCCCTTTGAAAGGTGTGAGTATATCAGGCTGCTCAGTGGCGTATACGTAATATTTCTGTTTCAAGACGAACTGCTTATTGATTATGAAAGATAAGTCATACTGTTCTCTGTGCAGTAATAATCTAAGCAGATTTGTATCAGTTTCAATACAATTTACTTTAGTTTCGTTATTTATGAAATTGTCTAAAATGGCGCTAAATATTTTCCATTTCCTCCATAAAGGTAATATTTTACGTTTAATTAAATGTCAACGAAGCTTTTAAAATAGATTATTTTCCCAATTTGATCCGGAAAATTTATATACTTTCCTAAGCCCTCCAATATTTCCTGACCATACTCTGTAAACAGCCATTAATCAATGCATCTAAAGAGTAACCCCCGAGTCTAAGCCACAACCCAGTATCCGCAAACACACACACACATTTATTTTTGTTTTTACACTATTTTCCCATTTTTCCCAACAAACCATCTGCAGCCCCTGCAGCTTTCTATGCACTTTAAAAATGCAACCAGTAGGGGTCGTGGGCGAGGGTGTTAAAATAAAAGAGGAGACGGATGGTGGGGAGTGGAAGGAGCAAGGACAGATACTCGTATCTATGAAAACGCTGGCGTAAAACGATGAATGGAATCAACACCAGCCTCGACCCAGGACAAGGAGATTTAACTTTGTGGGAGAAAGGAGGTGCCAGGGTTCAGAGGCAGGGTCCAGGGCCAGGTTAGACCAATTCATACTCAGTGTTGGGAAAGGTAATGTTTTTTTTTACCTAGGCGTGGTACTAAAAATCTAAAGGAATATATTCCTAGAAGATAGTTAATAATGCTAATAGATATAAATCAACTTTATGTCTTATAATACTTGAGAAGCTTCAAAACATGTCTATAAACGTTAAAAAATTAAGAATAATGTGTAAAAACAACATTTAATTAATATAAAGACATATTAAGAACAAGAAGTCCTTAGAAAATATCTAAAATAATATACCTAGATACCTCCTTCTGTATACATACTGCCCATCACTGTGCACACATGCCACTTGCCACAGCTTTTATGCGTGGCCCGTATCTGTGCGTACTATGAAATGAATGAAAATGAAAAGCAGTTAATGCTCAAGTCACGGAAAAAGCGTAAATGGAAAAGTTAAACGCATTAATTATTTATTTATCGTTTTATCGTGTTCAAGTGTCGGTGAACTTGCTCACCGTTCATCGTTCGTTGCCCGCCTGGAAAAACAAAAGGAAAAGCGGCAAACGAGGGCGCAAAGCATTAACAACGACAGCTAAGCAAATTGTGCGCAAGTTCGTAATCCTTCCTGAAAAGGCAGCATCAGTATAACACTGAGAAAAATTATCTAAATGATTACGAATTTTATTTTGAAATTAATATTTTGCTGAATATTTAAGCTTGTAAAAAATTCGAAATGTCAAAAGTATTCAGAAAAGTATGCTACAGAATCCAATTTTAAAAGTTAGGTCCTTTTTAAAGGAATATATATATGGACTTCTAGCATACCTTTTAAGACGCACTTTCTCACAGTTTACTGAATAAAGAGAGAGAGAGCTTGAAAGAAATGACTGGGTGCTGGTTGGAGGTGGCCATTTCGCACAACTCGTTGGGCTCAGTCGCTGGAATTGGCCCACGCCCAGCTGCGGAGATGGCCAAAAGCTGGAGATCAACGGTTGAGCGACTGAATTGAATGGAGGACATCTGGCGGTACTGCCGCCCTTTATCGCCCCAATTGAAAATGTCATTAAAACAATGCTAAAAAAAACCAAGGAATTGTTAAAGTTTTCGTTAAGCGACCAGATTTAGTACAAACTTTATATAAAACTTAACTTGGATTTAACTATTTAATTGAAAATGAAAACTGCTTTGAATAATAAACAGAAAGTTTGTTAATTTTTAAGTTTTTGCATAACTTAAAACTTTTCCAGACTAACTGGCTAAACAATAATCATCAAAATTGGTTGGGATTAAACTAATATAATAAATCAGAGGCTAGTTTTAATATTTTCTGCATTTATTATTTAAGATGCAGGAGGAGTAGATTTGCTTAAACCAATCCATATTGTGGTATTCTTCCATGATTAACTAACCATGATTACAAATTCAGTTTTAAAGACAAAGAATCCTTCTTAAGAGAACTTTAACTCGTGAAAATTCAACATCCCTTGAATACTTGTTCGTATTAACAATAACTACAATAATTGGTTAACTTTTCAGCTCACCGCTTATGTCGTCCATCTGCGTGAAGGCGGTCACCTACCCGTGGATGTGGCTCTTTATGAAGAACGCCTACGAGGGAGCCCAGTGCGCCATTCGCTTGGCCACCGATCCCCAGCTAAAGGAAGTCACCGGCGAGTACTTCAAGTGAGTAGTTGCCATGGCCACTCCAGTTTCTGTTGGCCGCATTAGCAGCACTTTGTTGGCCACTTTTTGCTACATCTTTTTATTCTTTTTTTTTGTTCTTGTTGTTGTCCATTGCAGCGACTGCGAAATTGCGGAAAGTTCGGAGACGGCCAAAGACAAGGAGTTAGCCAAGAAGCTGTATATGCAAACCATAAAAACTCTCGAGAGCGTTACCAAACTAACCGTCGACAGGGAGGCGTTCGGCATGGATTTGGAACTGGAGATGGAGTCTGAACTGAGGCTAGAGGCTCCGGCGGAAGCGGAAACGGAAACGAACCAGGGAGCGGATGAGGAGGATGAGAAGGAGCAAAAGCAGCCATTGGAGTGATTTATGCCTGGCACGCGGCCTGACTTCTTCGGGGACTGCCAACTGCAACGTCTATTTGCATTTGGTTTAACAATTGCCGCATTAGGCAGCCTCCTTTTCCTTTTTTATACGGCTCCTCGGCTTTATATAGCCCACCCATGAAATTACCCTCAGAAATAAATGCAACTTTAATGTGAGAGCAGTGAAAATTTGCTGAGTTTGTACTTTTCTTGCAGCGGATGTCCTCATCGGACTCGATGGGCTAAATATGTTGGTGCTTGGGCCTTTGATTTATTTCCAATTTAAAATGCTCTCGGCTGAGCGAGAGAATCCCTGAAAATGGACACTCTCAAGCAATTTGCGTAAATAATGGAATAGGTGGGGCGAATTTAAGGAGATTTTAAAGGAAAAAGAGAAAAGACTTATACTTCCAATTTTCCAAACAAGTTTTTCCTACTTAATTAACATGGATTTTTTAGAAGGTATATTTATAAATCAAATTTAATTCCCAATTAAGCTATTTGTTACATGATCTAACAAACATAGCTATCATTTAATTTAAAATTAATCCGAAACAAACTAAAACCCAAAGATTATTTCCATAGCAACATCAATGCTCCAAACAAAAACCCCAAAAAGCAGAACCCAAATTGTAATCGTAAATTTAGAAAGCCAAATGCTGGGAAATCCATGAGCACAAGCTTGAATGGAGAATGGAGAATCCGGCTAATTGCAAAATGTTTTTCGCTCCGTCTAAATTTGGCCCACTCCCCACAGCACCCGGGGCCAAAATGGCAACGCGTGCCAACAAACTGTTGATTACCAGCAACAACAAGGACCTCAACTCACACAGATACTTATCTATATATGTATGTATAAAGAAATATATGGATGTATGGACGGAAAACAAACCAGAGATGCAAGGCCAATTATTTTTAGTTCAGCTAAAACCGATTTCCATTATAATGTGTGCACAATGTACAATGCGAGGCTTAGACGAGGACACGCCAGGGGCAGACAGTCGGGAGAATTGTACATTCCGAGAGGACCTGGACCCCTGGCACTGAGGAAAAAATGGACTAAAATGTTTTTAACATATTTTAGGTAACATTGTGACTCATTTTTAATAATAATGAGATAAGATTTTGCACGTTGCACAGCTTAATAAAATTAACAAATTTGGTATTAATATTAAAATATTTGGGAACACAAAAATATAAACAAAATTATGAATTATTAAATACAAAAGGTATAAGAAAGTAATTAGTAATTAGTTTGTAATTCCAATATTTAACGCTCCTAAATAACCTTATAGTAAAAGTTAAAAATCATTTAAATTGAAATTTCATATACATGTTAAACCAAAATAGTTCTCTATGTAAAAGGACACATGCAACTGTCTCGACGCAGCCCCGCTTTGTATGCTATGGAAAATCTCTTTATTATATTACGTGCGACGCTTTTGTTGTCAGTTGGCAGGCGGCACAGCCTCCCCAACAACAAAAGCCAGTCTCCCCTCTCTTTGGAGGAATGCCTTACCACTCCCTCACATATATATATTTTTTTTTCAGTGGCGGGGTAAGCGCCATGTGTTGCTAGAGCAATTTTATGCTTCCCTTTTCGAAGTTGCTTCGTTTGACTGGCCCAGTTCTTTTTCCGCCCATTTTTCCCCATTTTTCTGACGCTGCCAAATGAAAAGCTCTTAGCGTAGCAAAGCGATTACGTTGCTGGGAAAAAGCTTTACGTTTCCGGTTACCTTTCCGCCGCGTCGTGTTACCGTAATATGCAGTTTACGCGCTTCAATTTGGCTGGCTCAAAAACAGGGGGTTCCCCGGTTCTCCTTAAGCGACTGGCCTACGGTGTACCATGTGCATCCATCTCAGTAGTACTCTTAAAAATTTTTTTCCAGTGCAGATAGAAGCTTTTTGGGAGCAGGGTAAAGCAACAGTCGCCCATAAAAAGCCCGCTCACTTCACTCTCTTCGAGTGGCATACTTCTCTCTTAAGTTTCGGCTGCTCTTTATTTTAATGTTTGATTATTATAAGACTTTACATATTACGTATACGTAAACAAAGTGATGATGTCCTATTTGAAAATGCATCTTAGTAAATATTTTTGATGAGATATAAAGTTTAACACTATAGAAAATTATCTTTATGAAGAAGATAGTTAGAAAACTAGTTAGTATTTATTTTGATAAGAAGCATAAATATATAAAAAATATTATGTAAGCATTATAAAATGATATCAGTATCAAGGCTTGAATTTGATGTTCTTCAAACTCTATTCTTTTAATACTAATTGACGTGGAAATAACAATTTCTTTATTAGTAAAACTAAACTATTTTCTAACAATTATGTTTTAGAGTCTGACAACCCTGCAGTGTTACACATTCTCTTTCTCCGAAAAGTTGGCCTCTTCTCTTCGTTACAACTTCTAAGCTTTCAAGACACCTGTGAGAAAGCTCTTCTACGGTGGCTTTCACCTCTGCCGCCGATTGTAAACAAACGCCCAAACGAAATTGAGAAGAGGTAAATAAACAAACGGAAAGGCAAAATAAAATAGAATCAAATAGAGGAAGCGCGTCAAGAACGCTAGAAATGTGAAAAGTGATGCGGTATTTGAAATCAGCATCCTAAGAATCTTTCAAATCTAACCGAATTCTCTTCCCCCCAAATAAAATACTCTCCCGCTGGCTGTGTTTTATGCTATGTTGCTCATGTAGAATTTCTCTGGCAGTGGATTTGTGAGAAAATGAGCGAGAGAACTTATAAACCCGAGTCCCAATTCGAGAGTTGAGTTGAGCTCGGCAATTTCATTTGGATTTTGACTTTTCTGCCGCGGCTGATTCTTTTTTTTTGCGATTGCTAGTGGCTGCTTTTGAAAATTACGCTTCAGTTGCGCGGCGGTCGAGGCGAAGTGCAAACGTGCGAAATTTTCTCGTTGGCCTTAACGACAAAAACAGCGCAACGTGGACATATCCACGATGCTGCCACACAAATAAGAAAAACAAGCAAAAAAAAAAAAAAAACAGGAAAATACTACAGCACACACACACACCAACATAAGCTCCAAACAAATATTGAAAATTCTAAGGAAAAGCGCCTGGGGAAATGGGGCACAAACGAAGGTGTGTTGGTATCTAGCTCCTGTCCGTGTGCATATTAATTATTCAAATTAATTGCAAGACATTTTCAACAAGTCTATATATATATATGTATTTATGTAGATATATTCGCCAAGTGTTGCATCTTAAATGAGTGTAAAAAATAATCGACGTAAAGTCGGGCAAAGTCGTTGAGTGACGCCAGCTGAGAAAAAAGAAAACGAATTAAACCAAATGAAAATTTGCCGTGAAACATTAAAATTTAAGTGTCAGTCGGTCGGCTCCTTCGCAGTTTCCCGAGTTTTCCGAGCTTCCTGATTTCTGTTATTATATCATCCTGTGCCATAAGTGGAGTGCTTTTGTTGTTAGTTTGCCACGCTTTTGTTGTTGTTGTTGTTCGTTGTAAGTGGAATGAATTTGTTGGTGGCAAAGTGCATGAACTTACTACACATATAATTACAATATGCAAAATATACAATTTGTATGGAAAACAAGTTCATACATTTATGGCTAAATTCATAGGAAATGCTTTTCTTTTTCCATCAGTCCTTGCTGAACATATTGTAAGTGTTATTATTATTATACTATAAGATTATCATTTAAAGAAATCAATAAGGTTTCTTCAGCTCCTTAAAAGTGCTCTTAAAATGTCTACAAATACTAATTCGATTAAAATAAAATATTAATGATATTCTAATATGATGTTAAATTTAACTATTCGAAAATAAAAACCATACTCTTCTTACTTAAAATATGTTTAAAAAACTTGAAATACGAAGTAGCTATTTAAATTTTATCATTACTTTAACTATTAATTCTAATTTAATAAATATTATAACTTATGCCAATTGGCATATTTATTTTTAGGATATTATTTTTATTTTTACATTAAACGCTGAATTCTCCTAAGACATCTTATTTTTAGATTGATCCTAGCTTTCTTTTAAAGCTATATAATATATAGAAATAATTTCTGAAAACTACATCTATCGAGTATTTACTGTACCGCTGTCCTGCCACGCTTCAATGCAAATGTTTGTCTGCGCCCGCGCCTGTTAATATTTATTTGCTCCTTTGGCCGGGCGGAAAACCGCCCATTTCGAAGTCCGCCTGACACTTGGGCTAGGAAAACAAAGAAAAACACATTCGAGTTGTTCCTTGGCCTTGGTATTTATGGCCGGTGCGTCAGCCTGTGGCACACACACTTAACATGGAATACCATTAAACTTGTACCATTATCGCATCTAGTTCTCGAGAGATTTTACACAAGGAGAAAAACGAAAGGTTTCTAAGATTGATTTCTCACCTTACATCTTAAATTGCCCTTCTTAAAAGGACAGAAAAACCAAACCTAAAATTTAAAAATTTTTATTATCTGAAAAGAATAATATTAAATATTATTTTAACACAATTAGCACTAAAAATTCCCATTAAAATAATAATAATTGTTTTTACTGCATAGGATTTACTTGGGCTCCACCCACAGTGGAATTTGAACTTGTCGTGGCATCATCATCGCATCTCGTTCTCGCTTTCGCTCTCAGCTTGGAATTATTATCACCTTGCTAATTATCTATCGATGATAATGATGCTGCCATTCGAATGCCCCCTCTGTATCGCCCTCTCTCTATCTATCTATGCCACCGTCTCTTTCGATTTTCTTATCAGAAAAGAGCGCGCGACTTTTGCGTCGGCATTGCCTATTTGCATTTTATTTCGCTTTGTGTGTTTCTTTCATATGAATCGAAAATTCTAATAATATTCCAACAAATAAACATGTGAGTACGGGGTGGCACAACCTCCAAAATAAAGTTGAAAAAAACCACTGCCCCGATAACCGAGAGGGGCACAAATAAAAAACCATAAAAAGGCAACTTTCAACGACCTTTTTATTCGGCGACCGTTCTATGATTCCAAACTGGAGAAGTCTGTGTGAATTCGATTATCGATATAGTTTCCAAATAAATAAGACTTTTATGTTCCAATTTATTCCCCAGGCAAAACAGACATTAAGAAACATTTTGAATTAACATTAATTGTTTGTTTTGTTTGTTTTTGAATTCATTGAATGGCCTAACGCAATTAATGAACTCAAATTTTTTTGGCATTTTCAGCAATGAGCAACTCTAATTTATGGATCAATTTAAAATCTAAAAATATTCTTAAAATATTTACATATCATTTGAATAGCAAAGCCAAATACTTAGTGACGTTCTCTATGCCGGTTTCATTCTATAAAATCTGAACATGTTTGTTTGCATTTTACGGAAAGATATAATTGGTCTTCTATGAATCACCAGATACATCATTAGTGAAAGCCTTAAACTAGTTCAAGGTTGATTGTTAGTACTTAAGATAAATAGCCAATGTGCTGATCAAAATCCATGTAATCCGTGTAAAGTTACGGAATGTTATATTTTAAGATAGAACCCATATGAAAGTATATATAAATTTCAAGTGCATGATCTAATTATTTTCATTTTGGCAACGTTCCTGCCAATTCCATCCACACTTAATAATTATTAAGAAATAACTTGTGATAGATACATGGCCTAAAATATATAAGTTAAAAATTTAACAAATTCAGAATCAAGTCAACATTTATAAATTTTCTTAACTAGCCTGGGTATTTCAACTTTTAAAAGACAAAAAATCTAAATTTTCATAATTTTTCAAATCATTTTAAGGAAACACACAATCTTTTTGTTGAAAATCACTCATAACATCTTCACGCTTGGCATAACTTCTGCCTGTCACTATGAAAGGAAATCACCTTGGCCCTGGGGCCGGCTAACGGTAACGGGAAAATCGCTTATCAAGCCGCAGGCCCTCCGGAACAACCCCACACCACCTCCCGCATTCCCTGCCACCGCACAGGTAGTTTCCTCACACAGCCTTGACAATGACAGCGAGCGAAGAAAATGGGCGCTAAATGGGCGCGCTCAATGCGGAGAAAGAGTGCAGAAACTGAAGCGTAGAACGAGAGGGAGAAAGCCCTACTGGAAAGGGGAAAGGAGAAAGGAGGTTGATGGTGAAATGGGAAAATCGGGGCGGGGGAAATTGGAGAGTGCGGCCGTTACAACAAACAAACAAAGGAAACAAACAAACTGGGCAACAAATGGGGGCCTAGAAAGGGGCGGGGAAGTAAGACTATGCCGGGTCGAGTGCTTTGGTTCATGGCTCACACTCACACACGTCTTAGTCTCTCACTCTCTCTCTCACTTTGTCCCCATCTCGCTCTGTTTTACTCTGGCCTTGTCTTTCTGTATACATTTGTTTACACTGAAGAAAAATCTTTGATTTGTCAATGAAAACTATCTGTGAATGTGACTAAAAGAAGGAAATACTTAAAAATATTTATTTTTTAATAATTTAATATCAAAGGAGAATAAGTAAATTACATATTAATCCTTACTCAAAGTCAATAACTTTAAGCCAAGTTTGAACTAAAATTTATTAACTTGCCAAGAGATAAAGATCTAGACAAATTTAATTGATAAACTGTGTAGACTGACTTGGACTTGCGAGTAGATAGGACGTTTGGTCTAAGTCTTATAATAAACACACATTCTCCTCTATAAATTGTATATATTTAATAGATAATTAACTTTTTAAAAAGGTTTTCTTCATTATAAAAGTTAATTAACTTATTTCATTTTAGATACATTTTTACCAGTGCCGCAAAACGGGTTTTGAGTTGCTTTTGCGCTGGCTACTGGGTCTGAGTTTAAGTTTGGGTTTGGGTTGGGGCTCTTGATGGGGTTTTGTGTCTGGGTCTCGAACGGGGAATGAGAATGAGACTGGGACTGGGACTGGGTCTCTGGCATCGTCGGCGGCTTTGGCAGTCAGTTGGCCAAGTCAGTTGCTCTTTTGGCTTAACAAACTCAGAACGTGCCGCGGCGACGATGGCAGTGACATCAAATTGCAGCGCATAGAATAATAGACAACAACAACAGTAAAAACTGAAAAACAAAAAAAAAAGGCTAAGGCAAGAGCAAAAGCTAGAATTCGGCTTAGTCACCATGTCCGAGTGGCATCCATCGTATGCAAGGCAGTGAAGAAAAGGTTCTCAAAAAAAAAAATGTGTGTGTATTTGCCCAATAAATTATTAACCGAATTTCGCCAAGAGCAGCTTGTTGCTTGTGTTGTTATGTAAATGGCAAATATATCTCTTGGATACCATAAAGTATCTTAATATCTAAGTGTGTACGTGTTTCAGCCTTGACTTTAGGCCTCTGCGCTGCGTCATTTTCGTGTACTGGTGTGTTTTTGGTCTTTTGCTCCAATTTCGGCTATTTCACGTTGATGGTATCTCGTTTTTTGAGTTTGTTGTGCCAAACACTTGAAGACTTTTTAGGAGCAGCCTCCGCATCCAGATGCCAGGAAAAACAGACAACACCATACCCATACCCCTCCACTCCCCCGGGCCACTTCAATTGAAATTCAAAACGCACTCAGCTCCCAGCTGCGACTTTTGACTGATACACCTACTTAAAAAACAACAACGAATATCCAGAAAGAAAAAAAAAGCGCTGAGATACAAATTTAGAAAGTTGCTTGGCTGCCGCTGCCGCTCTCGCAAGTCTCTTTCTTGGCTTTCGTTTTGTTGTTCTTCCATTTTTTTTTCTTATAATTTTCTCTCCCTTTCTTTTACATCTCTTGGCATTCCTTTCATGGCCAACACATATTTTCCGTCATGATTTTTTAAATATTTCTTAATGCCTCGAACGCACACACTCACTCACACTCCATAAATGGGTCAGAAACAGGCAGGGCACTTCAAAATAATTGGAAAGAATTCAAATCGCTTCGCCTTTTTCCCAGAGCGATCTTATCTTGCTAGTTTTTCTCATCACAATTAGCAACCAGTTTTTTGTATATAAAAATATAATATAATGACAGTATACATATGGCCAATCGAGAGATACGAAATGGCATTCGAATAGGGGAATCGGTTGTCGTATTATTTATGGCCCCATTGTCTCAGTGATATACACGCTCCATGACCTAACTTACTAATCCCGGCATAGAGTAGATAAATATAATTGGATATCACTAAGGTGATATTTACTCAGGTTACTTCTAATGCCATTCTAAAATAAATATAAATAATTGATTATATTTTTGATTGAATCTGCTTTTAGATTTTCATTAAGCTTTTGTAAGAAGAAGCAAACTTCCATACGATTATTAACTGTGGGAAGTATGAGCACTATCAGCTGTTTCCCCTCCAGTTAGTTACTTATAAAATAACATATTTTTAAATATGTCAATCAATCAAAGAATTTAATAATATTTATCGTTAACTTTTATATTATCTATAATTGCAGTTAGTTTCCATGACCCAAAGGCGGTGTTGTGCGTTGGCAAATCTGGTTCGTATCTCTCCTGGACATATAGAGCTGTGACCAAGTGGAACCCTTGAACCGCAAACCGACTCTGAACCACAGCCAAAACAGAACATCGAAAGCAGCAATAAGGTTAGCTTGGTGGCAGGACCTCAGCATTGAGCTTAACGTTCGTCCTTGGCATTTGGCAATAACAACTCAGGAGGGTGGTGGAAAACCTCGAGAAATCAGTGCAGGCGAAGCGGAAAAGCAAGAATTTTATTGGATCTGAGGAGAGGACAGGAGAAAAGGAAGGTGGGTGACCACCGCACTGAACCACTGCAATCCTGGCCCAACGAAACCACAGCACCTCCAACGGCAGCAGCGCAGCCAGCGTCGGCAGCGGCGTCGGCAGCGTTCCCGTTATAATGGAGGGTCCTGAAGTCACATTCCTTTTCCAATTCGGAAGCGTCCGCGATGCAGTCTGCGTGCCCGCCAACGCCCTGACCCTCAAAACGCTCAAGGATCTGGCCTGTGATTTCATCAACACAAAGGTGAGGTTTCTTTTTTGTTTAACATATTGGTAGGAGTCAAGGTTAAACTTTTACGTTTATAATATCTCTCTCTTCTATTGTCCAGTTTTATCATATTATAATATAATAATATTATAATAATATTTCTTATCAAAAGTTATAGATTTCAAGGGGAAAAGTAACAACAAACCAAAAGTAACTTGAAACCTCTATTAGTTAGGTCGTAAAACTGTGGTAATATAAATGTAGATAGTAACTAGTACTTAAGCAAGCTACTTAGGGAGCTCAACATCTAGCGACCCTTTGCCATTTAGTTAATTATGCAAGGACCAACCAGTAAACATGCCAATTGTAGAATATTTGAACGGAAACCGAAAGGCAGTCCAGTCAACATACAATGCAGTTAGCCCATAAATATATCTACAGTAGTCTTTCCAATTTAAGAAAAACCAAAAAAAAAGATTTTTCAATATGAAATAAAACAATAACTAGTTTTTACCTTAAACATCTTAGTAGACTTCAACGAACTTTAGGTTACAGACAAACATTTTACCAAGTCTTATTAATCATTTTTGACAAAAAAGAAAAGTAGAACTTAGCTATGGAACACTGTATTTCTAACAGGCAAATAGAAGAAAGTTAGCAGCGCAAAAGGGCGGATTAATAAATGTATGTGTGCACAATAATTGCTTTATTTCATTAAGTAAGTCCAAGTTACATAGGCATGGACTCGTTTCCGCATGGCCCGTTTTCCCCTCACGGCGCAGCTATCCATGGCCAATTCAATTAACCAGGCCGCAACTGGTGGTGTTCCGTGAGTTCCATAACCATCCATTGCCAGCGACAGCTGCTCCTGGCACGACTCCTTCCCTCCGTCTCCCCCTCCAGCCGGTTATCCACCTCGAATTGCTTACAACTTGGCCCAGGCGGGGGGCATAGTGAATGGTTAATTTGGTTTGTCCAGGATCTAAGGATTGTGGGACTAATATATACCTCATATGTATCCACCATGACAGTCAGTAGCTTGTATCAATTAACTTCAGTATTTGCTGGAATTTCATCAAGTCACACAATGAATCGATTTCTTTGAATATTCTAATAATTGTGATAATAACAATCTTGGGATTTGGCATAGTTCTTAGGCTTAGGCATATATGATGAATAATAGTTGGCTTAGATATAATATATAGTTATTTTATGTAACTCTACTTATCTTAAATTATAAAAGGCATTCATTTTTTTCTAATTGGTAAGAGTATTTGCAACTATGTCGATACAAAACGAAACAATCCGGCAAAGTTCTGTTCATATCATTTGAAATCAATACGAAATTTTGTGCATATGGCAGGCTGGATCTTATCGGGCAATCAATTAAGATACGAATATGATATGATAATGGGCCGCTCAATGCAAAAATAAGCGTTAAACGAACCCAAACATCGCAAATGGACATTGTGATTGCCATTGCGTTTGTCGACCGTGGAGTGCTCACACATTCTGTTGGCCATTTCAGATACCGGACAGCGGACTCACGTATCTCTCGGAACGCATTCTCCTCTTCGTCCACGATTACAGCACTCCGAATGTGCTGCACATCATCAACTCGGCAGCGGAGGTGGTCGACGAGACCCTTGTGGAAATCGTGCTGACAGCCAGCCGTAAGTAGCAATGGTCTTTAGAATTTCACACTTTTCAATCACCAATCGGGGAAAAACATTCACCCATATCACTTATCAAAGGGATGACATTTTTATATTTGTACATATAAAAAAGTGTCATAGCTTTGACAACAATGTTGAACTCTTATCAGAATAGATATCAAAATATTTTAGTCTTCATTCCATTGAAATATAAATAAAATCTTTATTTTCAACATATTTATAAATAACATTAAGTTTTATCTTATTTTATCGATTTAATAACACAGATATCTTAAATTTAAACGAGCATACTTTTCTCTCACTGTAGCCATACTGTATCCGACCTCCGAGATGCCGACCCTCAAACCGCACAGCCTGAATGTGCATTCCTACAAGGGACCGACCTTCTGTGATTTCTGCGGCGAGATGCTGTTTGGTCTGGTGCGCCAGGGCCTCAAGTGCGATGGTATGTGTGCCTGAGTCATGTGTGTGCAATAGAAAACGAAAATAGGATGAACTGCCAGACTAATCCCCAACGGTATCCTTTTGCCCACCCACAGGATGCGGTCAGAACTATCACAAGCGTTGCGTGGTGAAAATCCCGAACAACTGCAACCGCTCGAATGACGCCACTTCCAGGCGTTCCTTCACCCTCCACGCGCCCCGCAGTCCATCCGGCAGCTCCCAGCAGTCACTTGTCTCTACGGAGGAGTCAACCGGTCGGAATGACTCAAGCAGCTCACTGGTAAAGCGCATGTCGGACCTTATGAATGATATTATTAAGAATTGACAGGACGAGACAGGACCTTTTATATTCCTTCAGCTAGTATCTCTGTGAATGTGTGAATGTGTGTGTGTGAATGCAACTGTGTTAGCGGTTTAAGGGTGTTGGTTGACAGTTTCCGGTTATCCTGCGAGTATTTAAAATTGTACTTAACTTGGCTCACACTTTTACTTTGTATTGTTTTCATGCTTTTTCCAATAAACTTTTATACTGCGCACTTTTTATGTTTTTTGTTAACTTTTTTTTTGAATACTCGTAGGGGGCTTGGATTCAGCGATGATTAATGGCTCAGTATAGTCTAGTCAAACCAACTTAGGTCAGGGAAAATAAATGAAAAATCACTTCATAAGTCTTGTCCATAATTTTCGGATAAGAAATTAAGCTATTCAAAGTTTTTTAATCACTTTGAAATAAAAAAAAATATTAAAATTTCAGCCAAAATATTTCCCTTTACCCACTTAATTTTCCTTGGAAACTCGTCGAAAGAGTCTGTTGGAGGAGGTTCGAAGAGTGGCCAGCCAAATTATGAAAATTAGTTTTGCCCAATTAACGTCATTAAAGGAGTCCTGTCCAATGGGAATACCTTTTGCGAATCCATCTCCAACGCCACTCAATTTGCTAATTAAGTAATCCGGTCTCGTCCTTTGCTTTCATAATTCCCAGAATATACCCGGTCGCCATCAGCGGACTCATTCATCGGGCAGCCGGAACGGACTGACCGTGCTACGCATTCCGCACACTTTCATGGTGCACACATACGGAATACCCACGGTATGCCAGCTGTGCAAGAAGCTGCTCAAAGGCCTCTTCAAGCAGGGACTCCAATGCCGCGACTGTCAGTACAACACGCACAAGAAGTGCATGGACAAGGTGCCACACGACTGCACGGGCGAAGCACAACTTAGCCAGCTCCAGATTCAGGCAGGTGCCAAGGAGCGGGACAACTTCTTCCGAGAGGAGTTCGATGACAGTGACTGCGACGAGGGCTCCGACTATGGAAAGTACAAGACGGCCATGTCGGGAGGTGTAAATCTGGTGGCAGGACGACCACGGGAAGCACCAAAAGCCCTGACCAATGCACACAATTCACCGCCCGAATTGGTCAACGGAGGTCTGGGAGATGATTCCAGTGGTGGTGGTGAGACCAGCAAGTCTAGTAGTGATGGCCAATCGGAACAATCTCAGTCGTCAACCTCCTCCTCGCCCAGTGCCAATATCCCGCTGATGAGGATCGTTCAATCCGTCAAGCACACCAAGAAACGTGGAGGACAGGCCCTCAAGGAGAGTTGGCTGGTGCACTACACCTCATTGGACAAGGCCGTAAAAAGATATTACTGGCGATTGGACTCCAAGACCATTACACTGTTCGTCTCGGAACAGGGTAGTAAATACCACAAGGAGCTGCCGCTGGCGGAGCTTCTGTCAATTGAGAGTCATCAAGGTGATCCCCGCCCGGAGTCCAACTACTGCTTCGAGCTGCGCCTTCCCAATCTCACTTATTTTGTCGGACAGGATCCGCAAGTGGGCGCCAAGGAAGAGCAGGCCGTTAGATTACCTCCACCGGATAGTGGAATAGGCAGCGATATCGCCAAGAGCTGGGAGACCAGCATCCGACAGGCCTTCATGCATGTCAATAATACGCGTAAGTATGGAGGTTATGGATTCCATTTTAAACAAATTTTGATAATATTCTCTCTTCCAGAATGCTGCGAGTCAGAGGAGCAGGTGCAGGACATGGGTCAGTTATATCAGATCTTTCCGGACGAAGTGCTTGGCTCCGGACAATTCGGTGTGGTCTACGGAGGAGTACACAAAAAAACCCAACGCGAAGTGGCCATCAAGGTAATCGACAAGCTGCGATTTCCTACCAAACAGGAAGCACAGCTAAAGAACGAGGTGGCCATTCTGCAGAACATCAATCACTGCGGCGTTGTTAATCTGGAGAGGATGTTTGAGACCCCCGAAAGGATTTTCGTCGTAATGGAGAAGCTCAAAGGCGATATGCTGGAGATGATCCTGTCACATGCAAGGGGCCGGCTAAGTGAGCGGGTGACCAAGTTTCTGATCACCCAGATCCTGATCGCCCTCAAGTACCTGCACTCGCAAAATATTGTCCACTGCGATCTAAAGCCCGAAAATGTTCTGCTCTCCTCGGACGCCGAATTTCCGCAAGTGAAGCTCTGCGACTTTGGCTACGCTCGAATTATTGGCGAGAAGTCATTCCGACGATCTGTGGTCGGCACTCCAGCCTATCTTGCCCCGGAGGTACTCCGGAACAAGGGTTACAATAGATCGCTTGATATGTGGAGCGTGGGCGTCATCATATACGTAAGCTTAAGCGGAACATTTCCCTTCAACGAGGAGGAGGACATCAACGACCAGATTCAGAATGCCGCTTTCATGTATCCACCCAATCCATGGAAGGAGATCTCCTCTAATGGTGAGTTAGAATCAGGTCATTTACGGTGAGTGCTTTTCTCATCATCTTTTCTTTTCCCACAGCCATTGATCTAATCAACAACCTGCTCCAGGTGAAGCAGCGCAAGCGGTACACAGTAGACAAGAGTCTCCTGCATTACTGGTTGCAAGACAAACAGACTTATCGCGATCTCCGGAATCTGGAGACGCAGGTGGGCGGCGGACGGTACTTGACACACGAGTCGGATGACCTACGATGGGACTGTGCGGGCGACATGTGACCTGGCTGTGAACCCGATGCGATCCTCGAGAGCACCACCGAGATAATGAGCTGCACCACCACCGAGAGCTATCGTCCATCTCCGGCGAATTGCGCCGGATGCCATAGGCTATCGGATTGCGGTAACTCACCCAAATCGGAGGCGATGAGCGATAAGGCCCTGAAATGGATGCGGTTCCATCTCTGCCGGCACATCAAATAGCAGTACAACCATATTGCGTAGCCCATAAGTTTATCCTATCTCCTCTAACTCGCTTTTCGATAACCGCTAAACAAATGAATTCTTCTAACTTACAACTCTGTGTGCTAAATTTTTCTCTAGAATCAAAATTAGTCGATAGCTTTAATTCGTTAACCACCTAAAGGCAACTCTTATGAATAACTCTACACAAATACTTAATATAACATACAAAACTAAAACCCAGAAGAAACTGTGAAGCTCAGATCCAGTTGAGAACCAATTGTCATAGGGTATACAGAAAACACCAACCAAACGAATGGCAGAGAAAATATAGCTGAATAAACAACGCTTGACAATTAAGTGATGCACTCGACTCTTTTAGTTACAGTCGTGGGCGGGAACGTATGAATAGCCTTTGGAATATATTTTATAAAATTTTAAACATTTCGGTTAAGACTTGCAAAAATAGGGCGTTGTGAAAAATTTTTCAAGCTTTCTGCTGTGTATCAATAAACTCAATATCTACGTGTGAATATGAAACTACAAAAATATAATTTTTTAAATAAGCTTAAATATTTGGAACCTATTTTCTTACCTTTGGCTGTTCATTTTGTCAGCTACTTGGATTGTCTTTGTCTCAATGTGCACCACTGTATCACAAATCACTGGTCTGCAACGACTGACACCTTTCTCGGAAGACTTTTTCCTGCATTTTCAAGCAGTTCTTTAACTGCAAACCAACAGAGAAGATGCATCGTATACTAGTTAAGTTTTTCTTCATAGTAGTTCTCCCCAGGATAAGCCAGCAGGGGGATGGCTTCACCACTCCCAGTGCAGCCTGGTTGGAATATCAGAGGGAACGTTTTGGTATTAGTAACCCCCTGATGGTTAGCTCTACCAAGGCACCCATCTTAAATGTAGATGTGGTGACTCCAAAAGTGGAGACCACATCCAGAAGGCATTCCTCGTCGCACACAACCGAAAACTCAAGTCAGGAATCTAACGAGGAACAGACCACAGAGCAGCCATCGGAAGATGACGAAATGGGGCCCAGTCTTAAAGGATTTTTAAAGTTTCTTAAGAACATGCAGAAAACATGGGTTAAGAAATCAGCTCTAACTTTTGAGCATAAAATAAAGCTACTTCAGAACTTACGCGACAATCTCATGCGATTGATAGGTGCGTGAAATTATAAAAGCAAAATTATTAAAAATCTTTAAAACTTAAGACTCCATTTTCCAAACAGAGCAACAGTTTGCAGTCCTTTGGCAGCCACCAGAGCGAAAAAGGCGACGTCGACGCGGTTTACTGGATGATTCGGAAATAGATTTTCCGCCTGAGGCAGCAATCATGAGCATCAACTTCTTGACATTCGCTGTTTTTCTCATCAAACTCGTAATGGTACGTCGCACGAGACAATAACTTCTTTAAAATACAAATTTAAATAAAATTTTAAATTGCAGCAAGTGGTGAACGTTGTGAAAAGCAAACATTATACACTTTCCGGATTTAGCTTAGTACCGGAAGCTAACACACGTTCGTAAAGTATTTTCATTGATTAATTATTAAAAGTTTTACATCTATAATTTAAGTTCTGAAATAAAAAGAAATTTACTTGAATTATCAAAATTTTTTTATTTATCATTATTTATCATTACCTGGGTGGCCCTTGTGTTGATGGCCAGAGCCACATGAAGAGGTTCATTAAATCTTACGGTGGCTGCTCAATGGATGACAATTTGCACCTCGGAGGCCAAAAGCCTTCGATCGTTATCGGCAATACCCAAATCGGATTCCAGACAATCTCCAGCGATGGACCAAACCCTTTGAAGGGCCTCCGGCTTGCACTTGAGCAGCAGTTCAAAAACCTTTTCTCAATTTTTTAAGTAATTTGCAGCTTCAACTATTCTACCGCTTCACTTACAGCTTCCTTTGACCAACTGTGTTAATCCGCTTTTCTATCTCAATTCCCCTCTTTGGTCTGATCAGTACATAGATTCGTTTTACCTCCGTGGTCCTCAAAAGTTTCTCAATAATAACTTAAAAATAGACAAAATATAATTTAAATTTTTTTACTTTAAGTTGCTTACATCGTAACATATTTAGTAAGTTGAGCAAATACCTTTTCCCAAAAAACCCGTTGCTCCAGTTAAAAAAACCGTTTTGGACCGGAAACATCTCTGAATATCGGTGTCCATTTCACTTAGTAAAATCCAAAAGTAATGTTTACACTTTAACGTTGCGGAAAAGAGTCCATGCGATTGATATATACGTTGATCGTGTTTAACACAGTGTAGCTATAATGTAAATTAAATTTATTCAAAATTTATGTTCGTTCGGTGAACCAAAGACCCAGGGCTGGTAATTACGAATAATATTATGGAACTTATTTACGAATTTAGTTAACAAATTTAATTTAAGTTCAAGCAAAGGCTAGGAAAAAACAATGTAGCTGATATCTACTTAAATAAATTGACTCATTTTAGTTTATTTCTGCATCCATGTTTTGTTTTTATAAATTAATTTTTTATTTTCCAATAACTCTAGTATAGCTGATTTGCCAACCAAATGCGATCGGAAGAAGGTCTAAGTACGGTACGTACATAAATTAAACGATGTTTATCTGTAGTACTTATAATATATATAATAGTTAAATTACTAGTCGCCACCCAGCATGTGGTTTAATAATAATCTTGCTGACCTGACTCAATTACAACAGCGTTGGACATTTTACATTATTGAAATATTTCTTTAATGAATCACATTTATTTTTAAATATTTCAACTTGGACGATAGTAGATGCAACACTTTTGAGACATTTTTAGATATAGTCGACTGTAATTGAATAATCAACCCAAATGCTAAAAATGCATTAATGGTATATTTATCTTCAGGCAATGACTTTTATTCATATTTTATTTGAGTTTTACAAATATATTATTTTTAATTGTTTAAATCTATATTTCTTTACTTAATAAGTAAGTTTGTAGTCCCTATTTATCTAATTTGGATCCGTAAGTTATCCTTCTCAAGAATATCCTTTTATCTGTTAAGTTCTTATTAACAAATGGAGCAAAAATGTATGTTAACTCCATAAAAAAAAGTTAAATAAAAAAAGGATCCTTAAATAATTTCTTTAAATTTAAGTACGGTTAAAATAGAATTATTTTCTTTTATTACATATTTCATGCAAAAGTAAATACGCAAATTATAAAAAAGTTTTGTCGTGTTGAAGCGTAAACTATCGTTTAGCAAAAGCTCGACAGGATTCCATCGCTAATTCGATATATCGATAATTATCTGGCACAAACAGCTGTCCCGTTGTATAATTTTTGATGTGAGGAAATGGCATGCGCCAGAAAATTACTTTTCCGCGTTTTCCTAAATAACTCCTTGACGGCGAACCGCACCATCACCATGTCAGTTGCACGCCGCGCAGAAGAGGCCATCGATAAGCTGAAGGAGGAGAATCCCTACTACTCTAAGTACGCGGGCAAGATTGCCAAGTTGCAGCAGACGTCGGCGGAGGAGTTTTTGGATCGCGTGTGTGAATCCCATCAAGGATGGCAAAAGTCAAGCTAGGTGAGATAAAATATCACTGAGAAAGTATCGGTGGTCAACTTGTCCTAATTCCAGGACTTACTCCGAACTGCTCAGTCCCAAGCAGAATCTACAAGCTGAGCAGGCGGCTGAAATACCCCACAAGAAGCTCACCGACATAATGAAACTAGATCTAATTGCCGACAAAAGCGCCGAGGAGGTCTCGCAGATCTGGCTGGAATACCACAAGACAAAGGAAGTCTTGGCAGCCACTTTATCCACCACTCAGCTGAGAAACATCCCGTCTTTTTGTTGCCACTGCCCCGCAGTGAGGGCTTTGAGTTCGTTATGTTGCAATTCGCTGCCAACGCCGTGCACTTTACCCCGCTTCTGGCCTATCAAGTTCACCACGAGAACGCTCCTGAGTGTCTCACTCTGGTCCACTACACTGATGTTAAGGACAAGGGAGTAGTCCTGATGCGAGGAGAATACGACACTAAGGTCCTAACAGCCCAGGAGGCTCAATGCCTGGCCAATGAGCTCCAAATGTTCTACCTAAAACCTGACGAGGCAAAATTGAAACTGTTGGAAACCTTTACCCGCAAACCTGACGAATTCAAGCACTTGGATCTGATCAAGGAAGTAGAGAACATACAATTGGTCTAGGCCTTGAGATTGTAGTCAAAATAAAACATTCAAAGCACGGCCGTTATACATTACAAAAGAAAACGTTGCAAATCCTAAATTTTAAGTCTACGAAGAGGACATGGAACACTTTGATATTGTAATGGAGGAGATCGGTAAATGACCCAATGCCAACACCCCATTTGCATGCATATGGATAGATCTCTCCCACAGGTTTCGGAAGTGTCCACCTATTTGCGACAGTTGCGCTTGGCCTCGTGCAGATGCTTACCATCCACGAAACTATGGGCATGGGCGTCATTGGCCCGGCCGCTGTATGCGATCTGAAAATGAATCAGCCGCAGTTAGCTTCCCTTATGGGGGCCGGCTTTATGGGCATTATATGCTCTTCCTACTTCTGGGGCTACATCACCGACAAGAAGGGTCGGCGCTGGACCCTTTTGCGAACGATTGTTCTAAGCAATTTGTGTTCAGTTGCCTCCATGTTTACAATCAGTTTCACTAGCTTCTTTGTAATGCGCTTCATCACGTGTATTTTGTAAGTATAAAGTTGTGCTTGATGATTTCAAATCAGAGATCAAAGGGTAAGTTAAGTGAGTTGACAAATTTATCCCCCGATCAGTGTGGCCGGTCCTAGTTTCGTGGCACCTACCTATCTTAGTGAGTTCTGCTCGAATCGGATCTTGGCCCGTACAGTCACTCACATGTACATGTTCACCGGCTTCGCCATGCTCTCAGTACCGGCGTGGGCAACGCTCTTTCTGAGCTCGAACTTAATAGAGTTTGAGGTGGAGTTGGTGGGCACGCTGACACTGAGACCCTGGCGAGTTTTGGGATGTATATACATACTGCCGGGCGTTTTCGCGTTTTGTCTGCTGCTAATCTTGCCGGAGAGCCCAAAATTTCTGTTTATGATTGGCGACACAAAGAGAGGTTTGGCTACTATGGAATGGATATCACGCAAGAACACCGGGAAATCTCTGACCGAAGAGCAGGTAGACCATTTGCTCTCATACCAGGAGAACGCCCAGGTTAGACGGTCGAAGGGCAGTCACAACTTCCTTCGATCGATGCTCAATGATGCGATGCCCCTGGTTCGAAAACCATTCGTGGGCTACTTCCTTTGCGTCTGCTTGGTTATGTTTATCCTAGGTCTATTGTGAGTGTTATAGGTGCCTTAGGTATTTCCCCTTATTTATTTTACAAATTCGCAGGGCCAACGGACTGGGTATTTGGTACACTGCTATGCGGAACCGTTGCAATATGCGGCAGGGGAACACAAAGGGCATGAGCTTCTGCCGGCTACTCTTTGTTCCAGAAACAGGTCTGTTGTTGGAAACTGAAGCCGATTTTGAAGCGGTAATTGGAATCTACATATATCTCTTTTAATGTTTTTGTTATGAAGTTTGAAATTTCTTCATTTCTTGGATAGGTCTGCAACGACTCCTTCAAGGGCTTCAATGACTCCTTTATTTTGGGAATAGTCTACGTCGTGATGTACAACTTCTGCTGGTTGTCGCTCTTCCAAGTTCATAGAAAGGTTATGTTTGTCTTTTCCCTTATGGCCTCCACTACATTTGGCATTTTGCTGATCTTTGTCACTAATACCTGGATTCAACTATTTTCTTTGGTGTTCCTGCTGTCTTTTCCCGGTGTTATAGTTGGTTTGCTAGGTGGATCCCTATTGGGTTTTGTGCCTACCTTCATGCGAGCCAAAGCAATGTGCATTGTCCTTATGTGGTGTAGATGTGGGGCGGCGGTTGGCGCTGTCCTGGTCGGCTTCAACATGCAGTTTAGTTGCGAAATGTTTCTGCTAGCTATCGCAATACTTCCTCTGAGTAAGCACCAATAATAATGATTATTATTAGTACCTTACAAATCTAATTAAAATAATTCACAGTTGCCGCTTGTATGGAGGGGTATTTGCCATTGTAATTTCGAAATAAGGTTTAAACTTTATTAATTTCGATGTATTTTTCGTACTATAAAAATATGCGAAATTCGCAATTTATTTAAACAACCTCACCAAGCTTTTTTCACGCATTTGACTTGCCTACTTATGGGCCTTAATTAAAATGTACTCCCAAAAGTGGGCAATATCTTATTTATATCTTCTTTATTTATACCTTGTCATAGTATACTTTGCGTAGAAATAAAATGTGTATACATAAGACTGTTATATCGGCTTACAAATCATAGGGAGACCGAGTTTATGAAACGATTCAGACTTTTGCCTTAGTAACATTAGGCATATATATTTTTAAATATGAATTCTAATTTTTCCCGCATCAGCTACTTTTATATATAATTTAATTTATATTTGTTTAGCCAAGCGGTTAATAAACGTTTTTTTGAACGCGACTTATCGCTTATCAAACGTTTAACGCGTTTCCATCTCTACAAAGACTTATCGATAACTATTTATCTGGAGAAATGGCGGCCAAAAATTGGTTTTCCACATTACACTCAAATAACATCTTGTCGACAAATTATATTTCAATCGTTGATCGCTCCAGGAGGCCATCTATTAGCTAAAGATTGTTTATTTACTTTATGTCTATGACTTTATGTCTATTAAGGATGGCCGCAGAAAGACCAGGTAAGGTCAGAAATTAATTAAGGATCACATCCTGGTTACCACTTGTAATTTCAGGTTCTATTATGAAATGCCTAATCCGAAGATAAAAATGAAGCTTTAAATGTTAAATAAAAAGATTAGATCGAATTAGATAATCCGATTAGGATGCGCCTGCTTAAACCCTTTAATCGTAACCCGTGCGAATTCAATCTCTTAGATTTGACCAAGTAGAGAAAATACACCTGGTCTAGGCTCTTCGATAGTAGTCAAAATAATCCAATCAATCAAACACGACACGTACATATAACATTAAAAAAGTGGATATTTTTGAAATTTAAAGTCTACGAACACAGGATATGGAAAATTTTAATATTGTAATGGAGGAGATCGGTAAATGACCTAAAGCTCACACCTTATTTCCATGAACAGGGATTGTTCCTTCTCTACAGGTTTTGGAAGGGTCCATCTGTTTGCCACAATTACTCTCGGCCTCGTGCAAATGCTGACCATCCACGAAACCATGGGTATGGCTGTCATTGGTCCGGCAGCTGTATGCGATCTGAGAATGAATCAGCGGCAGTTAGCTACGCTTTTCGCGGCCGGCTTTATGGGCATTATATGCTCCTCCTACTTCTGGGGCTACATCACCGACAAGAAGGGTCGGCGCTGGACCCTTTTGCGAACGATTGTTCTAAGCAATTTGTGTTCAGTTGCTTCCATGTTTACATTCAGCTTCATTGGCTTCTTTGTAATGCGCTTCGTCACGTGTATTTTGTAAGTATTAAAGTTGTGCTTGAAATTTTCAGATCAGAAATCAAAGGGTAAGTTAAGTGAGTTGACAAATTTATTCCCCGATCAGTGTGGCCGGACCAAGTTTCGTGGCAGCTACCTATTTGAGTGAGTTCTGCTCGCATCGGATCTTGGTACGTACAATCACTCACATGTACATGTTCACCGGCTTTGCCATTGTGTCAGTACCAGCGTGGGGGATGCTATTCATGTCGAACTTATTGGATTTTGAGGTGGAGTTGGGGGACTCAAAGACGTTGAGACCATGGCGCGCATTGGGCTGTGTATACATTCTGCCGGGGGTTTTTGCTTTTTTCCTGCTGCTGCTCCTGCCGGAGAGTCCGAAATTTCTGTTTATGATGGGCGATACACAGAAGGGCTTCGATACAATGGAATGGATATCACGTAAGAACACAGGGCACTCTTTGACCGAAAAACAGGTTGAACATTTGCACGCATACCAAGAATATGCTTATGTTAGGCGACGAAAGGACGACCACAGCTTTCTACGTTCGATGCTCGACGATGCGATGCCACTAGTTCGGAAGCCGTTTATGGGCTACTTCCTTTGCGTCTGCCTGGTAATGTTCATACTAGGTCTATTGTGAGTGTTTTAGGTGCCTTAAGTATTTCCCTTTACTTGTTTAAAACAAATTCGCAGGGCCCACGGCTTAGGCATTTGGTACTGTGCCATGCGGAACCGCCTCTTTATGCGGCAGGGAAACACGAAAGGCTGGACCTTCTGCTTTAAACTCTTTGTTCCCGAATATGGTCCGATTATGGAAAGTGAAGACGATTTCGTTGCGGTATGCATAGGATCTGAATCTCCGACGAAAGTCCATCAAGTGCACTTTAAACTCTTTAATTTACCTTTTCCCCTAATTAGGTATGTAACGACACTGTCGAACGCTTTACCGACTCCTTCATCTTGGGATCTGTTTATGTCGTGCTGCATAATATTTGCTGGTTGTCGCTCTTCTGCGTACACATGAAGGTGGTGTATGTCATCTCCCTGGTGGCCGCCTCTACGTTTGGATTTTTGCTGATCATTGTCACCGATATATGGATGCAACTATTTTCTTTGGTATTCCTGCTCGCCATTCCTGGAGTCTTAATTGGTCTGCTCGGTGGAGCCTTATTAGGTTTCGTTCCTACTTATATGCGAGCCAAGGCATTGTGCATTAGCCTAATGTGGTGTCGATGTGGAGCGGCCGTTGGAGCTATCCTTGTCGGCGTCAACATCCGTTTCAACTGCGAACTGTTCCTGATGGCGATCGCCGGACTACCTTTGAGTAAGTACCAATAATAATGATTATTGTATCTAATTGATATTTTTACAGTTGCTGCTAGTATGGAGGGATATTTGCCATTGTAATTTCATATTTCTGTACCCCATTTTAAATCTCGTAATCGGTTTTAGGAGGCAGAAGAAAAATTTTTAATTTTTATAAAAATAACTTGTTGGAGTGAAATTTAGAAGAATCGACCTAAGCCAACGAGGATTATTTTTGTATTACTCATTTATAAAGTAAACTCTTTAAAGCGTAATTTATGGAACTAATAGTGTTTAATTATAAACCACCATTAGCTCATTGCATTCTTTATTCAACTTTTTACATCACGAAGACGATTATTTGCGTATTTTTAAATATTTAACAAACATCAAGACTATATTAAATACTTCATTCTGTAGCTGCAACTACTAGGTCTCACCCAACACGTTAAACTATTGCCCCGAAAAAACGAACTTAACAAAAAAGGCGTATGCTAATATTTAAAATCTTGAGTTAGTGACGTTGCCATGGTCCTTAGTGGGTGGGTTTAAAATACCTCCTCCTCATCCAAAGAGCGAACCTGCAGGATAAATCTATATTCTTCCGTCAAAAGTAAGTTCATCTCTGGTTACCAATTCACCGCCGTTGTTTGCATTCTTTGCCAGGTTAAAGTTGTCCAGCTCACGATTCCTCAGGATTTCCATTAGGCCTCCACGCTTGCCGAACCGAACTCGGGCTCTGTCTCCGTAGTAGGTGTCCAGATCCTGGAGGAATTTATAGGCATCGGCCATGGTGTTGACATCGTTCTTCCGCGGCGGCCTGGAGTTTGAGGCCTCCACACTGCAGCCGGCGGCAAGGAGAGCCAGTGCCACACAAACAATCAGGATGCAACGCATTGTTTGGCACATAGTTCTGCAAAAGGGGTCAGATAGGATCTTGAATATACTTCTATATATTAAAAGACTTTTAAATACTAAATATCAATATATCAGCAAATATTTTTGTGATTTTTACTAGTGACTTAAAATTATTTAAGATCGTTTTTAAAATGATTCACATTTTCACTTTTGCAAAAAACGAAACCAAAACTAAAGCTAATATTTCGCTATTTGCTGATGTTAGGGAAGGTCGCATTAAATTAGCAATCGCTAACGATTTTGTGGATTTCGGTTTTAGTATTTGTTTATCTTTTTAATTTATAACTCTCAGTAGGTGATCAAAATATATGAACTGATAGTACCAGTTATCTATGACGAATTTTTAAAGAGTTTATACTATTGAATAGTCAAATTAAAAACGTTACAATGTTTACTTATAATTAGATGGTGTTTTTCCCTTCATATTAATCGTTAACAGGGCAGAAAAAAACCTTAGAACTAACTACCGTTATTAAGTAATTTAGATCTTGTATCGCTCATGGAGACCTATTTAGGGGTCTGGGTCTTTGGAGGGCCTCGGTTAATAGCGGGCAATCTAGTATGCTAATTGGCTAAAACTCGGTTAAATGATCACACAAGCTCACTGCCGTCATTTATGGTCACTCAATGGTTTTCGGACGAGACTGACGCAAGTTGGTAATACTTGTGCCCAGCAAATAAAGCCGATAATAACGAGTATTGCAAGGTACTTAACTTCTAGTTATAGCTCACTTGACCCCAGCCAAAGGATGCAGTTATGAATCATTGTTTTACGACCGATCCGGACATAAGATCACTCGGAATAGTTCTAAGAAACTGCATATATTTGCTTTAAATTAGAGATAATTTTTCAAATGAGCTATCTTAAAAGTTTTACGTGGAAGTGAGTCTGCGGATCTTACACTTACCTGTTCTGAAGTGTAAATTTGAGTATTTCAGAAAACAAACGGTATCACAATGCAATTATTTGGCGGACTGTGTGTGTGTGTAATCAGCGGACGCAACCGTGAATAAATGTTGGCCAAAAGCCATTGGCAACAGGTATTTATAGGAGTCGCCGGCTGAGGATGTGCCCGGCTTATCATGGCCAACCGTACCATCCCATTCCACCCATCATCCAGATCCCGAACAGTCGCGAACGGAAGTTGGCAAAACGATTCGAAACGAACACCGGGCGAAACCTCTAAAATGTTTTCATATGCAGGCTAATTATGTGCCCGCTGTCGCGTTTGAACTTTTGCAGCAGCTGGAACGGAAGAGCCACCGGGAGTGGGGTGTGGATACCAAATGGGTGGGCGGCATGGAAATAGGAGAGTGGAGAATACACAGAGAACGGAGATTGGCGGGCGCTAACAAATAGTGACAGTTGGCTAACGAGATATCTGAAAAACTGGGGGGCTATCAGAAGCAGAATTACGCATAACTGAATAAATGACAAATTTCGATAAGCAGGATTATAGTGCCTGGTGACTACTGCTGCTACCTCCAACTGAAATCAGTTATGGATTCTCTGATTTATTTGCTCACAGCCTAGCCTGGGACTCCTCCTTCCGCCATTGCCGGCGTCAGAGTTGGGGTTCTGTATCATTAATTATAGTATTTTGATTATTGTTTAATAACTGTTGGCTTAGACGGCGACGCTGATTGCGATGAGGTATTAAGTGTGCTGCCCGACTTCCCATTGCTGTTTAATTTGGGGTCAGGCGGTTAAGTAATTTCAATAGCGATTCAATCACCGCTTGAGTGCTGTAATCTGCTTGCTTTTACTGGCTGCAGTGCGTATACGTAATGTGCTTTTCCTTGTGGTATCGCAACAGCATGACATCACAGAGATCAAGCGGGTTCTCTGGTTCTTCTGGATGGTCATTAACTTAATATTTGTTATAAGCGTTCTGACTAATTAACGTTCTAGTCTAGTATTTTCTTGTTTTTTGTTTTTGTCTCCGTTCTGTGGGCTACCGTTGTTGTTGTTGTTGTGATTATCGCTCCAATTAAACTCGTTAGATATTCATTTGCGAGGGGCGGTAGCATTTCATATTTAAATCTAATTGCCATCTAACTGGGTTGGTTCCTCATTGTTCGCCTGAGAGTTTAGCTCCAGTTCCAGTTCCATATTCCATTAACTGCCGCCGATTTAGAGCGCTTGCCTTTTGCTAATAATTGGAGCTAAGATAGCCGATTACATGGTGGCAGTGGCTACTGGAAAATCAGTCGTCATATGGTTACCTTGTGATTGACATTCATTACAGCATCCGCTAATCGGACAATGTCTGGCCGAAGTCCCCTGAACTTTCCTGCACCTTTCAATATTATTATTATTGTTTAATATAATTAATAGAAGTGGAAAAAACATGTAAATAATGATAACTATAATTAGAAGTCATGTCTTTAATAGCTATAAATACTGAGTAACAATGATTTCCGTGATAAGAAGTTGCCTAAGTAGATAAAGTAGATCAATTAAGATAATATTCTTACTACCTAATGGTTCTTTTTAATATACTTGTTCTTCATATATCTTATAATCTTATTTTGAAGGCAATGTAACTTTGTAAATAGTGTTTCCTTGAGGCTCTTCAAGTACTTTGTTTCCGAAAATACGCTTGGAACACACCTCAGTTATTATATATTCTCGTTCTCCTGACCTCGCGACGGCAATAAACCTCATATTTGATCAAAATCTAAAAGGTCGACATTCACACAACAACAAATTATTTTATGTTTAGTTCTGTAAATAATATTTTGTTGTTATTTTAACTTTATCTGAGACAGTGGTTTTAAAATTATTTATAACATTTTCTTATATACAACTTAAAATATTTTATAAATTGCCAAACCTCTGCAGATGAAAGGTTCTCCTGAACTTTGTCAATAAATTTTGTTCTACAAAAATTGACCTTAGCAAACGGGTCGGGTTTATTTTTAGAATAGCTTTAAAGCCATTTAGCAACAATTAACTTGTTTAAATGTAATATCTTATACTAAGTGACAGCTAAGAATTGTAAATACTGCAATATGAGGTTAATCCTAGAACAATAGTGTTAGCTTTAAGAGTTAGCTACTGTTCAAGTGAATAGTTACACGGGGAATCCCCTGAACTGGTTCAAGGACATTTGCATTCGTATGTTCCGTATTGAAAGCCACTCAAGCCACTGGTCAAGTCGTGGAATCTTTTGGGTTTTCCCAGCATCTCGTATATGCACTCCATTGTTCTGTTTGCTGCGACTTTGCAGGGCTTTTGTCACCTTCCATGTGCTAAATTGCCAACGTCATCGTGCCAGGCGTATGCCTTTTGGAGACAATACTTAAGGCTGATGCGGCGTTGCAATTACGACAATGTGCCTTGTTTTTTTATACAGTTATAATTTTTAAGTTGCGACCTGCGTTTTGGGGGCTTTCCCTCTTTCCCAGGCCCATTCCCATTTCGTGTCACATAAAATATATATATTTTTGCATGCCAGCCTCCAATTTTGGTAGAGAACCGTTTTCTAGAGGCCTGACGCTGGCGCTGTTTTGCGTAGATGCTAACAATTCAGATTCGATGATCCGCTGCCCCTTCCCAGCTCGTTAAAAACTACTCGGGATAATTGAGCGTTTAATGTATGCGAAAAAGTGTTTTACATGGAGGGTTGAGTAAGTAAATATATCGGTTGCTCACTGATCAGATTCTATATCCAAAGTTTTTGGGGCTTTCCTCGCCTTGAGGATGATCGGCAATATTTTGGGAAAGATTTGCCATTTAGACAGTCGCCAGCCAAACAATAGGCTTATTTACGGCAAAATGATAATTGTACCTAAAAATTTCGCAGCTTAATAACAAAGTTTGCATCTATTTGTGTGTGTTTTTTGTTTGGTTTTCTAAATCTGGCAAATATTGATCTACATCCAAAGGGTTAGTCAGATCCGTGGTATTCCACGTGAATTAGCCACTTGGACAGAGGAGGGTTGTGAAGTGTTTAAAGGGTCGCTTGTCTAACGTCAGAGATAATTCTTGGTAATAGAAATAGATATGAATTTCACCGTTTTTAATTTGTTTTGATCAGCTATGGAAATTTCTCATAAAGACATTACAAATAATTGGACCGCATTAAGTCATAGTTTAATACATTAATAAGTCTGTATGGAAGCTGTGCAAAATGATTTTCATAAAAGTTTATAAAAGTACAGTAATTAAGTTTGTTTATTAATCGATTTTTGTTCTGAATTCTAGTTTGAAAAGACTTTGCTAACATTATTAACTTTTTCAAACCACTCTTAGAATGAGTAATTATCTCAAAATTAAAATAAATTTCTCTAAAAATCGAAACATTAATCTATCCACATGCTTTTTGAAAACGTGTTGGTAATAAAATCTTTATAGCTCGTAGAGAACTCTTGTCTAACATTGCTGGCTAAAACAAAAAGGTTTCTTCGCACCTATTTTGTGGGGTACATGTATCTATGAGGTTGGGTAAGAAACTGGTTTCTTTTTATTATAGATTAATAGGCCATTCCAGTTAAAATTTATGACAGTCAAATGCCTATAGGTTATATTTAAAATCGATTATAAGGCAATAGTTTATTATACAAAACGCATTACTGATTGTGCAATTCTTGGGGAAAGGATAGCTTTGGCCCAGCCAGGACTCATTTCTTACCGGTTAAAAGCTTTTATTACAGGCACAAGCTAGAACTTAGAACTCTTGCAAACTTTCACAGAAAGCATAAAAAGCGTCCATTGGAAAATGGGACTTTGGGATGCCCCCTGTGCCATAATTGTGCCCCGTGTTGCCATAAACACAAACAACAATTAGTCGGGTAACAACAGCAGCCGCTCGGTGGCAAATTGCTGCTCACATGCCATATGGTAGTTAGGGCAGGGAGCTCATTGTCTATTCGGGATCAGATCACCTAAGCGGTCAACGTCGTGGCAATAGTCCGCAGAACCTCGAACAATGGCTGGCAATAAAACAAAACAAAATGGCATTTCTCAGACAAATGTCTGATGGGAAGAAGAAGAGCAAATAAAGATGATATTTACTACCCGGGTCAGGGTTCAATCCAGAGCAAAATAGGTCACCATATATCTAATATAGAATATATATTAGATAGTAACTGTTCTTAGTCAGCGTGATCGGATCAATCGCATGGGAACGCCATAGATCTGTCATAAATATCAAGCTAAATAGCGCTCAGATAATTATTAGAACAGCAAGTTAATAGCTAATCGTTATTGGCTGCTAAGAATCAGAACTGGATGTAATTGCGTCAAGAAATGGCTTTTAATTGCGGCTAAACTTCATGCATATTTATGGCTGGCCGCAAAAAGGGCACGGGCACGTGTGCGTGTCTGGTGTTTGCTGTGCCCAAGTTAGAGACTCTCCGGTGGATTAAATATAGTCATTTGAGCCATTATATTTATGAGAAGGCAATTGCCGGCTAAGCGATCTCCTCATAGAGACAATAGCTAACCCATCTAACCCAGCCCCCTTTTGATACCCCCTTACGATTGTTCTAACCTACAGGTTTTCGGAGGGTTGGGTGTTGGATGTTGGATGTTCACATTCGCCTAAAGGGGTTCATAGCCCCAGACCCAGAAAGTGACTTAATGCCGCTCGGGGATTTCGTTTTGGCCAACGACGAAGAGTGAGGGCGCGAACGTGCGCGGTTTTAGCCGAGCGCGAAGCCCGAGCAGAGGTTTGAATGTGGACCGGTTGTGTAGAAAGGTTGAGATGCTAGTGCTAGCTGCTAACTACTAGCCGATCCGATCTCCGCCAGAGACTCGGCACTCGATCGGTTGAGAGATCGGGGAACGGCCCAAGAGTCCATATAAAGGTCCCAGCTGCAGTCGAGATCGGCGCATTAAGTTGTCAAAATTTGTGAGAATAGGAAGTGCGTGACAGTTCAGTTCGATTCGAGACAAAGCAGCGAGATTCTAGCCCAAGCCAACAAAGTTCAGAATCAGGCAAACAGTTAAAGCTAAGTTATAGCCAAGATCGGAACACGTCGGAGCGGGAATCTCGGGTGTGGACAATCGCCAGGAATCGAGCACTCGGCCTATTGAAACCCATTAAGCCAACAACTTTATGAAAGCCAAATCAAAACAAATTAAACGCTAGCGGTTACCATGCAAATTTATCCGATCGTAATCGGAATTTCAATCACAATATCGCGACCGACCTGTTAATAGTTTAATTTGAGCCCATAAATAATAACACAAGAATTAATTGATTTTCGTCATAAATCAATAAATAACTATCCAACTAACCAACAACTAACTAACACCACCACCACCATCACCAGTCAGTTCAATCAAGTGCAGTCTATTGGAAAAGGAGGGGGAAAAACCAAATCAGATCGCGCCGGAGCTAAATATTTTTTGGGTGCCGAAATGAAACTATTTACCAACCAAAACCAGCGCAATGCAAGTGAGTATAAGGGGTCTGCACATAGCCCCAAAAGCCCCCCCAAAAAAAAAGAGCCAAATAGCGACTACACTAGTGCTTAATTAAGCCATGCCCGAGCCGTATCCGTAGCCGACCATTGTCCGCATTGGTCAAAGCCAAAGGCCCATAAAAGTTAATTCGAATCGCCGTTTCCAGCTCCAAGGGAGCTGTGTGCGCCTGCCCCCACGCGATCGTAAAAATGTCAACAAAGATCTCTTGCACAAACTCCAAACAAAATCGACTAAACTGCTAAAATCTCAGAAATGTAGTAGGAATGGTGCAATGTTTCTTTTCAAACGCTCGTGCATGCTAATCAAAGCGATATAAAAACGATTTCGAAATTCCCATTCCCATTCAAGTTCCCGGCGAAAATTAGAATGCTAATTACCAAATTACCGACAGCTGGCCGCACGCGTAAATATCGAATTTTTATTTATTGCAAATACCTGGATACGAGATACTAGTTATCTAAAACCTCGATTTTAAAGTCCGTTTATTTTTGGCGGCACGACAGCTATTAGCTAATAATAGCAGCTCGAAATTTAAAACGATCGAAGTTTTGGGGGAAAACAAAATTAATTTGGAATTGTATTAATTAGTGCTTTCTAGGGTTATAGGTTTTATTTTTGGGTTTTTGTCATCACAACATCGGCTCTCGGCCAAAGCAGTTAACATATGTTCAAAGCCGTATTAAAAAAGGGGCAAGACATCGGCGGACATCGGGCGATTTGCATAACAACAAATGAGCTGCCAAGGGCGTAGGGTTCTATACTTTGTAGGTCACTTGTGTTGTATAGGGTCAGTTTAGATTAATTGTAAGCAGCTTGTATTTGTACATGATTATAATAAGTATGTTATGTAGATCTCCAGATCTCCGGATCTCCAACTTTTGGCAAACTCATTCGCTAAAGCTAGGTCTTCGGAAGCGTACGTGTAGATGTGTATTAACGGATCTGGACGGACGGTAGTGCAATTAAGTTTGCATAAATTAAGATTTGAAATGAAATCGGTTGTGACTGAAAATGTCACGTATTACCTTACCATGAAGTTCGATGATTTCAATCAGCATAAATGCGCTGGGAAAACTGAAGGTGAACGCGATGATTGCCCAGCCCGGGTCACCAGATTGGCTTCATGATAATATATCTGTTAAGATATAGCACGGACAAGATGCTGACAGAGATCCCCAATGTATCTGAATCGCAAACATGACTTGCAGAGATTAGAGAGAACGATCCTAGCCAGGTGATTTGAGGCAGTGCGCCATAAATCAATACGATCTACTACAGCTCAATGCCCGCTAAACAATGCAAATAACAGCTATTGTCCGGGCATTAGTGCAATAACAATATCACTACGACTGTGTAAAGTATCCGTTTCAAAGGCGAACAAATCGGATCAGCATCATTATGAGCATGATGCTCAATATACGAGTACTCATCGGGGAAGTTGTAAAAAGCTGAGCTACATATTTACTTTTCCTTATTGGCGGGCATCTAATTGCCGCGAGACTTTGACTGCGACTATTTAAGGGTTTTGGGTTTTTTGGTTTTGGCGATGATTAAAAGCAAACAGCAACGGATCTGGGATTAATCACTAGCCAAACACAGGCAAACACAAATATCGTCATAACAGCGACAACTATTAGCCGATCGGCACATGCTCCTCAAAAAAAAAAAAAATACGAAAACTTAAAATCAGCGGGCCGAGAGAGTATCAGAGTATCTGTATCTTGTGGATAGCCGAGTGCGAATCTCAGCGACGAGCTATAGATCTGTAGTTATGGCTATAGCATACGGCTATTTGCCTAATTTATTGTCGTTTGACGGAAGTCAAACACACACACACCTGTCAGCCGGCGAAGGTGTTCCGTCAGAAACAAAACAAATTCATTCTTGACTTCAGTGGGTCAGCCAATGGTGGTGACGCTTTGACTGGTCAAAAACATATACAAATTTTGTTTTTATCTTTTTTATTTAATATATATATTTTTTCAAGCACCGTGCACTTGGTGTCGCGTTGGGTTAATTTTCAGGTTTTTAATGCTGGCCGGCGAATTGCACCGAACTTGAACTTCAGACCGCTGCAGAGGCAGAGACAGTCGTCGCCAGGCGTTGGCAGCCGTCAAGCTCATACTTAGTAACTGATATATATCCAATCCCGGCTGATATTGAGCTGCTGTTTTGCTGTTTTGCTGTCGCAAACAAGTTCACAGCTCACTGCTGCTGTTGCTACTGCTACTGGTTCGATCGAGAGACAAGCGTCTTTCATTCATGGATACCTTTCGTGTCTTGTGTGTGTGTTTGTTTTGGCCCGCAAATCTTTCTATCGTCATCGGCGATTTGGCTATGGACTTCGCTTGGCCAGTTGGCCAGTGCAATTGTTGCGCAATTCAAGCTCCACTTTTTGGCCAAACCGTGGAGATTTTCGTGTCGTTTTGCCACTTTGCGTGTCGATTTTGGCATTGGTCATTCCATTGCAGCAGAATAATTTCAAACCGCTTTGTGTGCGGCCTAATTTATGGGTGGGCCCCATAGTTCGGGAATTTCGGCTGTCACTCTCAAGGCAAGGATATGTATGAGGGTTACACATAGAGAAATTCCAGATATTTTACATGTTAAAAATTCTTAGAAGAATGATTGCGTGATTTCCATTTTGGACTTACATATAACTCGCTGAGTCACTTCTTTACTTTTTAAAATGTATACCCCTTGAAAGGTAACTTTTATTATATTTATTTACTCAAAATGTTTAACACGAATTCTTAGAATTTCACACACCCAAAAGAGTGAGAAAATTGTGATAAATCAGAGCTAGATAGCGTGTGCTGTCCACATAAACAACATTTATTATTGTTAAATGTATTTCTAAATTGTTTCTCAGAATGTTATGACATTTGTTAATGAAAAGGCAAAAAAGTTTAACAGCTTAAATGTTTATTTTTTTTTTCAGCAAAGCAAAAAAGCTAATGCTGCGGAATAATTAATATAATAATAAAATTGTATTTGCTTTAATAATCCAATTAAATCAATATTTTTGTAACCATTTTTTCCTGTGCACACTCGTAGTTCCTATCAATGTTTGGATTTCTGGTTTCATCGGCGCCACGCATAATTTGTCATGTATCATCGCGGTTTGTTTTGATTGTGAAGTCTTGAACCTATTTATGACACCAAAGTTGACACCAAAGCGAAATAGTTAATGAGTTTATGCTGTTTGCTTTCCGATCTCAGCAGCCGATCGCCGATCGCCGCTCGCAGAGATGCTGTTGCCGCTGGGATCGTGCCATTTTGGAGCGAGTTAGGGGCGTGCTAGGCACTAGATACCTAGCCACCAGTTCATTGATCTTGGCAGGTGTATCTATCTATCTATCGGTTTCGCTGCTTTCGGTTTCAACTTCCATAGAAACATCTATTTATTTTTTGGGTAAACAATTGGGGGTTTTTCTGCTTTTGTTTTTTGATTGCGAGAACTCGCTAATTCGCGATTTGTACCGATAAATGGGCTAAGATTGTGCTTTTGATTTATGAGCGCCCCCAACATGTATTCTCGTATGATGTTCATGGAACAGCCATGATCTCTAGAAATCGGTCACAGGAGGAGAACTGGGTGTGGCCACAGTCTGGATTTTGTAGACCTCTTGGGAATTTCCGGCCAGATTTCGAGTGCGGAAGTGAATATCGGTTGGGCAAAGACAATAATCTTCGCGGAAGGTGAAAACAAACGAGTTTGGGTCGTAAAGTGAGTGATTTCACTTCACTTTAAGTGAATATGAGTAGAATTGCAGCAGCCTAGATTGATATGCTTCGATTGCCTTGCCCATCTTCCGTACTTTTAATTAATATTCCAAACAAGGTCAGTGAAACTGGATTTTTACGACTTTTCTAGGAGCGGCTATCTTATTCAATTGGTGTAAACAAAATACAAAGTCAGTCGCAAGTCACTTTTGAAACTATTGAATTCCCTTACTTAGGCAAAAATTTCAAAACAAACAAACTGGTGACAGTGGGAAAATCAGCTATTCTTAGGTTTAAGGTGTAACCATAAATTAAACAAATCATTTTTGTTTACCTTTATGCTAAAAAGTTGGAGATTTGCTAAAAAAACCAGTTGGTGCCGTCTATAAACGTATAATATGGCTTTTAAATTTTAGACAATATATTTAAATTGCCGGAAAAAATGTCTGAACGGCAAGGGCAGTAAACTAGAATTATGGGAATTTTTTATTTTTAGTGTATATATATCACCTTCCCCCGCTTTTTTGATTATAAAATCGAAGAACGTTCATTGAACCGCCACCGTTTTTGGGCATCGTCATCGCCTGCCGGCTGCCGTCTGTCGTCTGCCGGTTGTCATCGTTTTGTTTATTAATTTTTTTTTGGCCTGGAGCTGGAGTTCCATTCCTGCTCCTGCCATTGAGGTAGGTCGCAGATCTCGGCCGACCCGATCGCATCCGATCCAATCCGCCGCCAAGGTCAATGGCATGATGGGCATGATGGGGGGCGCACGCTATCGACAAACTGGAACCACGGCAAACCAGTTCAACTTCAGATGACGGCGCTTGCATGACCATAACTCACCCGCTGATCTATTTTATTGCAGAGCTGCTGCGCACCGCTGCTCTGGGGATGACCCTGCTGTTCTTCGGGTCGCTGGTCCTCATCGCGGATCCACTACAGAGCATCCTGGATACGGTAAGAATATAGATCGTTTTAAGCTACTGAATTCGTGAAGATATTGCAAGAGATATGAGAAATATAGATATTATCTTCATGCTAAAGTCATATCAATTAGTAACTTTAATCGTTTTATTATTTGCGCTGTCACAATAAAATAAAACTTGTATTTCTTTAACTGACGTAACGTAAAGTTTAATCCAAAGAAAAATAAAAGCTATAAATCTAGTATAGTTATTAGTGTAAGACCAATGACTTTTGAGTGAAATCAAAGTTTTTTAGGCTTATTGTTTGTTTGATTTTGTTATGACAAGAGTTTGACTTCCAACCAGAATTTTTTAAATTTAAACAACAATCTCTTCAATTTTCCGGTTATAAATTCAAAACTAACACCTGCCTCAGTGTTTTATCAATAGAATATGATTTTCATTCACAAAGTAAACCAATTTATTACCCAAACTCAAGCTTTACATATGGAACAAAAGATATTTCTGTAGGTCAACCTTAGACATTCAATGGACATTGAGTTAGACCATGGTTCTGTAAGACCAATTCTTTACAAAGTTTTAAAGTATGAAAAATGTGTTTTTTTTCTTCCAGCAACTGAACTTGAAACCTGGCGCCCTGCTCCATCGACTGTGGCTCTTGCCACCGCTGGATGTATACATCAATGTTTACATGTTCAACTACACCAATGTGGATGATTTCACGGCGGGCAGGGCTACCAAGATGAAGATCGAGGAGGTGGGTCCTTATGTGTACAAGGAGGTATTGAGCAACCACAACGTCACCTACAACGAGTTTAAACAATACCATAACCTATACGCCGAAACGAGAGTATTTCTTTATACGGGAACGATCTGTGGGTGATCCGAAGGTCGATCGCATCCGTGCGCCCAACATCCCACTGATGGGTGTGACCACTTTGGCCTCCAGTCTATCGATGTTCGCCGCTTTGGGACTGAGTGCCTTGACCAGACAGCTGAACTCGCAGCCCATGTTGGATTTGACAGTGCATGAGTACATGTGGGGCTACGAAGATCACCTGGTGGAACTAGCTGCTCGATTCGTGCCCAACTGGATTGACTTCAGCAGCTTTGGCATCATGGAGAAGGTAAGGTTATTGGGAATTAAAGTTACTTAAAGTTGACTTAGAAATCCCACATTGATTATATTACAATGTATATGAACTATTATTGCAGCTCTTTCGGGAGGGAAATGAAACCAATGTGTTTAACATGAACCTGCCGGAACCCAAGGACAAATATGGAGTGAGATCCATGGATGCTCCTCGTGGTTACACCGTGGATAGCATCAATGGGGAACGTGGCTTCAAGGGTTGGGAATACGACAAGCGGACCAAGTAAGTGATTTAGATCTAGCCTCTTCCACTCAGAGATTTACTACAACTGCACTTCCACATTAGTGGAACCATGTGCAATCGCATCTGGGGTAGCCATGATGCCACTCTCTTCCCGCTGGACATGGATGAGAACGATGAGTTCTACCTGTACAGGCGGACTTTTTGTCGCCGTTTGCCTGTGAAGTTCAACCGGACCAGCACATATAATGGTATCGATGGCTTCGAGTTCGTGATGGAGCCGGACTCCTTCGACAGCGACCTGGACAACGCCAACTCCTCGTGCTACTGCAAGAACAACAAATGCCTCAAGAAGGGAATTGGCAATGTTTCACCCTGCTACTACAGTGAGTACTGCTAATGCTAAAAATAGTATAGGCACTTTTATTTACCAGACTTCTTGCCTTTCTTCAGACATTCCTCTAGCCATTTCGTATCCGCATTTCATGCATGCCGATCCCAGTCTGCTGGAGCCATTCGAAGGCCTCGAGCCGAATGAGACGCGCTTTACCTCCACCGTGGTGGTGCAGCCGGTGAGTTGAATCGAAAGTAACCCAAATTGGCCAATTTAATAATAGACTACGGGTTTCAGCAACTGGGAGCACCGATGCAGGGAACCCATCTGCGGTTGCAGGCCAACCAGGTGGTAGGAAAGGTTAAGTTTAACCGAATGATGACGCCCTTCGAGAACATGATACTGCCACTGCTGTGGGTGGACCTTAACATAGATGTCCTGAGCCTTAGCCTGCGCATTCTCATTCATGGCATCAAGTGGGGATTCCCACTGCTGCAGTGGGGCGCAGCCCTGGGAATGATGATTGCTGGAGTATACAAGCTATGCAGCGCGTTAATGCTCTGTTTTTGGCCACCCATCAAGCAGTTCCATAAGGTGGATCAAGTGGAACGCGGCAAGGCGGTTCAGGTGATCGGAGTTGGTCTCAGTTTGGCTAACGGGCTGCGAAAACCATCGCTTCATCTGGATCAGGAGGAGCAGCAAACATCTGCTCTACGGCGGCGGCAGTTTCATACCCAAGTTGGCCAAGGCGTAACCCAGCAGCGGATCGGAATGCTTACCTCAACTCAAGAAGGGGCAACACTGTGATATTTAGGCTTAAGATTCGGTGTAAATTATTGTGCTCATCGGAAACAACTTAGGGAACATCCTTGCCTACGTACTAGTTAACGATAACTATAAGCTAGGGCTACAGATAGAGTGATAACAGTAAGCAATATACAGCTGAGCTTGCACTCGATAAATACAGGTCGATAGCTATGTAATCTCTGTGATCCTTGATTTAGTGGGCGGCGATCGTGTCCTCGATCCATTTCATGTAGTAGGAGGTGCGGGTATAGACATCCGGAAAGCCCTCCAGGGCACAGCCAGAACCGAAGGAGGTTACCCCAACCAAGATCCAAGGTCCGTCACGGTTCAAGCGGCACTGCAGAGGTCCGCCAGAGTCGCCCACGCAGGTGCCGCCCTCACCGTTCAGCTTCCCAGCGCACAGGTGTCCGCCGTGGATGTTCACGAAGCTGCCATAGGCATCCTTGCACCTGCAAAAAGAAAAGATATAAAATTTTCTTGGGATAAAGAGAAAATCCTTGTGGTCACTCACCTCCCATTCTGGTGCAGTGGCACCTGAGTCTTCAGCAGCTGATTGGACAGATCACCACTGATGTTGGCTTTGCCCCAGCCCGTGGCCACGCAGTCCACAAAGGCCATCTCCTTTGGCTCATCATTGACTTTGAGGTGCTTCTGCTCTACAGAATCCTCCAAGTCCCTCCGAGGACCCAGCTTCATAAGCTTGTCGTTGCGTCTTCGGGAGCGTTTCAAACTGCGCGGGGAGCGTTGCGCCAGCGCTTGACGCATCCTGCTAAGGATTTTCATGTTCATTAGCTCCTTCATGCTGGGAGCCGTGACATTCCTGTAGCGCCTCCGACTCTGGACGCTGCGCAGGAAGTTGTCGATCTTTTCGGGAATATCCTCCAGGTCCAGCTGTTGGATGAGTACATCCTCATCGACTGATGCTGTCGGAGACGCTGCATCCGAAAGGGGAGCATCTTGCGATTCGGCTAGTAGGAAAGGCAGGCAGATTCGCCGGATATTAGAGGGCCGCGCGAGGTCCGCTGGCTTTGAGAGCTTCATCAGCACCACGTCGTGCCGAAAGTTGTGGTAGCGGTGGTGCATCACGATCTTCTCGACGGGAATGCGCTGCTCGTTGCCCGATTCCACATCGCGATCGTGCTCGCCCAAGACCACCGTCCACAGCGGTGGAATGGGCAGGTTAAAGAGATCGCTGTGTAGGGTATTTCATGTATTATATAACAGGTTTTCGGGGTTTTCCATTTTATAGACCTACTTGTGAACACAGTGAGCGGCGGAAAGTATCCAATACTGATGGATCAGCACCGCTCCGCACCAGTGGCCCAGGAATCCCAGCGACGGATGCAGTAGCTCCAGGGAGGCCTGCCAGGGAAACTGACCCTCATTCGTGGCTGCTCCTGCAATAATCCGTGGTCCTCTACGCGCTGGACGACAGCCACAGTCTGAAAGAGCAACATAAATTGATTAATTTGGGAATTTCAAAGCCTTAAATAAGGATTATTTTTCTAAAACTTCATTTTCTTTCATTAAAACCCTTTTTACAGCTTATTGATTAATCACTTTGAAGATCGTTTTATGAACAAGTTACACTTTTGTTTGACTATCGTAAAGCCTAACAGTCTTGATTAATAGTTTCGTCACCTTTCACAGTAATAATTTCATTTTCAGGTGTTGAACACCCAATTGAGATCGATCAATCTTGTTTATGACTGTAGCTTTGTTTACGAGCTTATTTCCCTCTTCCAAACAATTTATTATACCCAAGCGTGAAAAAATATAAGCAGTTTAGATAGGCTTTTATTTTTCAATGAATGAAAGATACTAATTGAACTTAATGAGACTTCTTTGCAAAAAGATACTGTGTTCAGATAATGAATGAATGATACTTTAAAGCTTCATTGTTAAGACTTTTTATATGGATATTAAAATGTTGAAGCTCAAGGATAGATATTCTCTATGTGAATATAGGTTAAGGAAGTAGGGTAAGAGTGTTAACCTAAAACTTATATTTTATTTAAAATTAATATAAAATCTGATTTTTTAGCTTCTTCGACTAGCTCTCTACCTACCCGTCTCAAACTGCCTGGAAGAAGGCAGCAGCAGCAGCAGGAGGTACAGCCAGCTCAAGGTCGCTGTATTTGCCACTGGGATCTGCCAGTGGCACTGCCATTGCGACCGCGACTGTGGCCGTGATTGTGACTGTGATGGCTTCATCATCTTGGTGGCCGCTCCTCGGGCAGCTGGCGCAGCTCAACTGCTCATCGCGCGCATGACTGACCCACAGAGGCCGTTTACGGATCGTATCTCTATATAGTATCTATATCTGTAGCTGTAGCTTTGTCCTGCTGCCGATGACCAGATGCTTTTCACTTTCACGCTGCCAGTCAAATGGGCGGTTGAGGGTTTGTTTTTCTTCTATTTTTCCAGAGGGATTGTTTTTTGGGGGATTGGGAACTGGGAACGAAGGCGGATCGCGTCTCTCAGGCCAAGCACTTTTTTTCCCGGCCTTAAATATTATAATTTACGAGGTTCCTCAGCTTCGCTTTTGCTTTTCTTTCCACGAACGAGCATTAATTAGTCCGCTGGCTGGGCGGCGACGACATGGCCAATTGTGCGCAGAAGCGGGATTTTGGTTATAATTTTTTTTTTTTGCCTTAACTTGACCAGAAGCCCGGTGCTGTCCAGTTTCCACTCTCGATTATGTAACGATTTTTAGATGCTGGTTGGGCCAGAGGCTCTACGCTTAATAACAGTCACTTAAAGACCGCTTTTCGTTTTCGATTTCGTTTAGCGCGCGTGCGCATGCGCGACGTTCAACGGAGTTTGGTGTTTTGACGGCTTTTGATTTGGCTCTTTGGATGTGAATTGGGCTTTTTGGCTTTGGCGCCAGATGTGCGAGTGCGAATCGCTGGGGACGAGCGCCAAAATGCAACTGTGCTCTGCTCGGGTTTGCCAGCAAACATTTACCGTTTCGATGGCAGAGCGGCAGACGTCGACGCCGTCGTCGACTGAGATGTGGCATGCCCCCGCGCCACCACCACCACCACAGCAGCAATAACAACAAACAAACAACAACAACAAGAGTGAAGCCAACGAAAGTGAAAAGGCAGCGGGACGTTGGGGGAGGGCAATCAAAAGCCACATAGATGATGGCCAGCTGAGATGGCGATGGGGAGAAAAAAGGGTAAGTTGGCCCGACTCAACCCACGGAAATCATTTACCGTGGAAAGTGGCAATACAAGAGAATAAATTAGGCAGCAAATAGTGATTATTTTGGTTTATTTTTTGAGCAGTAAATGCGGCTTTAATGAATACCTCTGAAGATTTCATAATTTCAAGTTTATTTCCATATTCATCGGTGTATTATCTTCTGTATTATGATGATGAACGCTGAAATCTTAGTTTGTTTTTGGTATTTATTTCCTGATTAAGTTTTTAACTTTTTACTTCTTCAATGTTTTAGCATTGATTTAAATGTTTTAACGTTCTACTTTTGAACGGGTGATTAATGAGTATTCATCAATAAGTAATCAGTTAGAAATATCAAGAAAAGCTTAGCTGAAAGATGAGAACTGAGACTTTTAGTACTATATTTAAATACGAATATCTGTGGGAAAGATTTAAGCAATTTGTTTGATAACACAACCGTTTAGCACTTTTAAAGCCCGTTAAGCTTCCCATAGTTGTTTTGATTACGACCCCCTCCGAATGGATAACAACTTAAGCCCATATCAAAAAAAAGGCGCGAGTTTAGAGTGATGATTGCACGCTAGCAGGGCATTGTATCTGCCAAGTAAATGCAAAACTGTAGTAATTGCAAAATTAAGTCATACAAGTGGGTCATTACCATAATTATTTATTTATTTCTATTTAAGTTTTGGCATGCCTATAAGGCGACTCTGCTGTGAGAAAACTATTGATGACTATGAATTCGATTTTGACATTAGAATAAGCTCAGTGGCTGTAAGCGATACTAGGTCTAGTACATATAGTAGTTAGATAAGATAGCGCAGCCATTTGATCTCACACATTCGTGACGCTTCTCGAGCCAATTATCTTATCTAATTTAAATGCGAATGGCTGCAACATGGACGTACAACATTGGATTGTCTCGTAGATATGTTATATTATATATAGGTTACGATCTGTTCGATCTGCTTTGCTACCTATTAATTGCCGCCGAACGAATGCCGCTTTGTGTCATTGCGGCATTTGGAGTGCATTTTTTCCCTACTTCGCGCTGGTTATGTGTGCCATTTAAGTGAGTAATTAGCGGCCGGCTATTCAACGCCTGTTTCAATGTAAGATGTCAAGTAGTTAGTTTAATTGCGATTAGTTTAAAATATGCGCATAATTCCGGTCTGCCCCCAGTCTAGAGTGAATGATGTGTCGTGTGGCTACCCGAACCGGTGGCTAGCTTAGTGTCTGTATGTGAGTGCGAGTTACTTTCGTTTTCATTACGCGACGAAGGCAGCAACAGCAGCAACAGCAGCAACATTGGCAGCAGCAGAAACTACAACGACTCGAATTCCGTGTTGATGCACAAACTCATAAGTCATGTTGCTTGTTGCTGCACTGCAGCAGCAACGTATACAAAGCCAATGGGGAAGTTGTTAATGCAACACCAGCAACACAAACAACCAGCGATGGCAACTGCAACGGCTTGGGGAAGTTTTGTTTGTGCAGCCGATTGATCATTTAAGCCAAGACGTTGCCTGTCAATTTGTTGTGGTGGGCGTTGGCATTTGTTCGGCATTTGCTGTTGTTGTTCAATTAAGAGGCGCCTTTTGACGATGACTGACGAAGTTGCAGTGCCCAATATCCCCGCCGACCGGATAATCAAAATCAGAAAACTTGAAATCCGAAAATCGCTTGCCCAATCGAAGACATTTTGAAGTAAAGTTCGCCACTGTCTGTTTGTGTCTTTGGTGGGAACTTTCCCGCCGTATTGCGAAAATAATAACAATAATGGCTGTGTGCTTTGGCATTTAATTGAAATCGTAAAACAGTCAGTAGAAAAAATAAGTTTTTACGCATGCCTCTGAACCCAGATGCGATGACAATCGGCGGAAGCATTGCGGGTCAAGACGGCAACGTACCAATTGGTCAGGCCAGACAAACTGGGCACGTAGATCAGTCGTAGCTGAAGACGGAGTCGGGAGAAATCGAAGTTCGGGACCTTGAATGAGGAGCTGCAATTTCACTGCTGCAGTTATTCAATGGCAATTGCATCATCATGGCAGCATATATACTCGTATGCCCGAGTCGATCGGCGGATGCTCTCTTGGAGTTCGAGAAACTCGACAATTAGACAAATGGTGGGCCAGACAACTTAACTGATCAATATCGGGCAGCATTTGCATGCTAGCTGTAGTAGCAGCACCAGCAGCAATAGCAATAGCATCTGCAACATCAGCAGCATCTACAATGCGGCGTATCTTAAAGATGCGCGCATTACATTACCAACAACCACGAAGTGATGGTGGCAACGGGCGCTTTCCACCCGACTGGCGATCAGATGAAAACGAAAGTGCTTCAAGTGGTTAGCCAGCTGTTGCTGCTGTTGCTGATGTTGCTCCTACCAATGTTGCTGCACAGCAGCAACTCGATTCGCACGTTTTCAAGCTGATGCTGCTGCTGGTGCTGCCGCTGCTCAAATTTATCTACTGCCTTGGCTGTTGTGTGTTTCCTGTATCTCCAAGTTTATGTTGCTCTGCTCTTGTGTTGCTGCTGTTGCATTTGTATTGTTGCCACTGACAGTGGCAATGGCAATTTCAATGGCAATGGCATGCCGTACGCTTGCCACATGCATATGCCGCCCATGCGAACTGTTTTGCTTGGCTTTTGTCAAACAAAGAGCCTCTCTTGCAGACAGGCAATTTGACTTTGTCGATGCCCATATAATTAATTGTTTTATTGTTATTTCATCTCAAGTTGAGTAACTGCCAGGGGATACAGTTATCGACGTCTATATTTGTACATATATCATTCGCTTTTGATTGCATAACAAACATGTGACAGCACAGAAGCTCAAGGGTAATTAGTTTGACAAACTTTGTAAGCAAATCTTGTTGTTTCGGCAACTGTCTAGGGTTAATGTACTTGTCATGCGGGTCTCACTTTGGCCACCCAACTGGAACCGAAAAGTTCTCTACAGATTTTTACCCAAAATCCAACTTAACTTTGTTGTTTTTGCATTTTTCATTTTCGTTAGGTAATATCATTTTGCCGTACCCGTAATATTTGTTTTTATTATTTAAATATACACTTTAAACTTTTTGGCTAATTACCACGTTTATGGGGCTATTAAGCTTAGTATACTTTGTAATGTATTTGTATATGTTGCTTGTTTGGTAAATACAACTAGTTAGTATAGAACAATAAACTATTTGTCACCAAGAGCTTGATTTGTAAGTTCGAACTCGAAAGACTTTAAGACAGGAAAGCCTGACTTTCTAACTTATTTCTGTTTAATCAAGAAATGTCAATTAAAAACTAACTTGTATGCCTTAATTGGCTTATTCAGGATCATTTACGATGTTTATAACCATTTTAGTATAACCAATGCCAGGGTATTAAGATAGCCTTTAGTAACTCAGCTTATGAAGCCACCATTTCAGAGTATTTGCCTTTCGTCAAACATAAACACTTTTTACGAGTCCGCACTTGCGCGTGTTTAATTGCAGACAACTCAAACAATTAGTGGCTTTTAATGCAATAAATTTGAATTAACGTGCATCTGTATATCGCATATTGGTTTTCCAGTTCGAGCCAAATCGTGCGGAGTTTGCCCCGTGGAATTTGAAAATACCCCAAAATACCGAATGCCGTCCGATCAACAGGTGTGGGAAGCCCCATAAAAACATAATCACAGATGAGCTCCCATTTGGCTAACCAGCTTTCCTCTCTTTTCGCCAGACAATGGGACTGCGACTGGATTGGTCTGACTTTCCACATCTGGGCTAACAAGATTGTGGCAGTAAGTAAGGGCCCATTGTGTACGGGTCTTGGGTTTTGGGCTTTGGGATTTTGGCCATTCCGATCGACCGGAGTGCTTTCCATCCAGCCAGTCCGGGCCACACAAGATGCCGCCTAATACCGTCTCACCTGCTGCAGTTGCGCTGGAAGCTGTTTCTTTTTATTAATAGCAATTAGTTGAATGGCGAAAAAAGCCAACAACAAAAAAAAATGTATATTTGCTGCCTGGAAGTTGCGGCCTCTTGTTTGTTTTGTGTTTTCTTTGTTGTTGCATTTTTTGATTTGGTTTATCCGCGTTTTTCCTCGCTTTTCTTCTAGCGGTTGTTTTATGTGGCGCAAAATTTGCGGTTTCCATGTGGCGTTGATGCGAAATCGTTGCAAATGAACCACTCTCTGGTGGCTCGGTGAGCGGAGGAGATATATGTTTGTCAAGTCGAAAAATGATTCGTACCGGCATTTAAGACGACTTGAACTCGATTGAACCCAAAAACAAATCGGCGACTACCCCGGGGAGATTGTCTAATCAAGGTGAGTTGAAAATTAAATACGAAAATTATGTCATGCAAAAGCTACCCCAACCCCCTCTGAGATTATGGCGCACTGCAGAGATGGCACAGTCAGATAAAGCCAATTACCCAACGCAAACATGTCGGCCGAAAAGAAAAGCAATAACAGTTGAGGCTGCACAATTACTAATTGCATTTTAGATTGAGGCCTGGGCCAGTCAAAAGCCAAGGCAATTGGCTCAAAAATTTGATTTTCAAATGAGCCAGCCAGCGCAATCAGCGGATCAGCCTCCGTCAGCTTTATGACGTCTATAAGGCAGGGGGGTTGATAAGAAGAAAACCCCCCTTTTAGGGCTTATCAGTAGGAGAAGACCCTACGGCCAGCATTTACTCTTATCTGGCAAACATTTCGTAGTGAAAGTGACGCAGTCTC